TGAATACATGAATTTGATTAAAAATGAATGAAATTAATGGGAAAGTGCGTTTTAGCCTTGTTTCGCACAAATAGATTACTAAATAAAAATTAGTCTTATCGGTCGACAGTTGTGGCAGATTTTTTGTTGTTGTCAAAAATCGCATTTTAACCATCAACCATTTCCAATATTCGCCTGTAAATACATACCTTTTACCTTTTCGAAAAATTGCATTTGCCCATGAAAGTAAAGGGACTTTCAAGCCATTGGATAAATACCAGTTAATTCTTAATGTTAAGAAATCCTTTTGGTATAATGAATCTTTAATGCTTTCTTTTATGTTCGTTACCTAATATTCCGAAGCTTAAATTGCCGAAAATGCTATATTTATTTCATTGTTGTTATCAGACTGGTTTAAAAATTGCACAATTTCTTAGATCGTTTCTTTGACACGTACTGAGAAAAGAATGTTCAATGATTAGTTGGGCTAGATAAGCCACATTTTTACGACCATTATAAAACTATATATGCGAGTACGTTTCCATTTAATACATAGGGCCTGCTTTAAGCATCTTTGTTATACCAACAAATAGAGAAATATTACCTAATTAAAATAAAGGAAACTTTATAGATCCAATGAAGTATAGGGTTTATTAATGTGATCAGCAGATCTGTGCCTCCAAAATCATTTGACCACAATAGCCCAAAGCTGAAATTTGCACATCATTGCGAATATAGAATTATCGTGGTCGCGTTGTTCTATTAAATTTTCAAAATACGAGTTTTCCTTCGCAACAATTATTTTTACGCCAATCGCGTGTAGGTATTCTACTGTGGCCTTGGCTATTTAAACCGTATTGTTTACCTAGTTATCAATAAATTTTTGGTTTCAAGTGCAACGGCGCTTATCGTGGCAGCAATTAGGAAAAGCATTGTTGATTATAAGATTGGGTTGACTGCGTCAAAACACCAGACATTGGCTGTGTTTAGGTAAAAAATGCGATCGTTATAGAAAGTGTGTGTGTATTGTGGGTGCATATACATACGTACAAGTATATATGTATACATAAGTAATACAAGAGTGATTAATCGCTTAATAAACGTTCACTAATTAACAAAAGGCGCATGTGACAATGGCATAAAATTTTTAATTTCGCCAACGCCAACCTAAAATATGGAGAAATATAATTGTTAACTGGTTTTTACTAGGCCCCCACACTAACCAAAACCGGCAAGTGGTTTGTCTATTATAATACAAAAGGCTTTGGAAGCCATCTTCAGTTTCAAAATTCTGGTTTCGAGTAGGAAGTTGTTTTGTTTGTCGGCCAAAAAATATACTTTGTGTTTGAAAACAATTTGGTGTCGACCATATTTCGCTTTCGGATTATTTTATTTGCTATCCCAAAGCCGATTATATCAAAGCAGCTGCAAAACAATTTAGAACTATGTTATTTTTATTTATTATACCTCTACACTAAATAAAACGCTTTAAAGTCATTGCCGAACTTTTAAATGTGCACATGAAAATATATCAAATAATTTGGCTCACATTTTTGCAATTTTATTGCAATACTATTTTGTTTTCAAAATTTATTTATGAGTTCGCCACTTGCCAAATAGATTATGCGACAGTCCATACACTGATATAAAAAGGCTTTCTTTCTTAGATCGCAAAGGAAATGTACATAGAATAAGCTAGTAAAAATGTTTTGCGGCTGATTGGTAAACTATTCAGTTCGGATTAGATTTGTTTATCTCTGAGAATTGGCAATTGGTTACAAGGTGCGCCCCAAAGTAAACTGGACTTATTAAAAATAAGCACATAATTGATAAGTATATATTATTGCAAAATCAACTTCTGAATCAATAGAACGTTTTGTGCGATCAAGAAGCTTTTCCATCGGACGGCGTATTACCGTCCATCAAGTGCCAGCCGACTACATTTTTCACGGTACTTGAGAAAACGATGCACCAAACGCTTCAAAACCAGAGCTGTGAAAACATCGATGTTCATTAACAACAATATTTAATTTATTGTAAGATTATTTTCATCTGGAAATAGAATTTTTTTCACACTAATTAGTATACTCTTTTACCCTTTGAGGACAGAGTATAAAATGTACTTCCAAAATTGTAATGGTTCGCATTAATTGGACTAGTTTGGCTCATCTAGATGCTTTTACTCGACATTATGATGGTCTCAGGATCGTATAGAAAACACAAAGAACAGCATATTCGCTCACAATAATGTAAAAGAAGTTTTGTTCCGATAATACAAGCATACTATTAATTGTAATTTTTTTTTGCTATATCATGAAAGATTCTCGATTATGTACATCAGGTTATGCCCTGTATTTTGAATTGATGAAGTGAGTGCTAATTGTTTTGTAATGAATGGCCAAAAAAATATGGAACAACACCAAGTATATTCCACTTAAGGCGAAATAAATTTGTGTTTTTAAACTCAAAAGTAAACAAATAATTAAATTAAATTAAATGAGACGCTAAGTGCTGATAGCATTCGAAGTATTTTTTATTCTTTAGTTTCGTAATATATTATCAAACTTCAAATATCTGCAATAAAGGTAAACAAAGTCTGTAGTTCAAAAACGCGCAGACTCGCCTAAATTTGAAATATTTATTCTTTTTGTCTCTTTCTTAATGTAAATTAAAACCAGCTTGAATTAAATTCAAATATTTATTCTTTTTGTCTCTTAAAATCAGCTTCAATTAAATTGTTTGATATCGATAAAGAATATACTTTTTTGTTACCCATAAATGTTCCAGTCTCAGATCAATCCAGTTTAGTATATTCTAGCCTTTAATAATCAATTCTGAAATGAGACATTTTAGTTATTAGAACAATTCCTAAACGTAAGAAGCCTATTCATTTTTTTTTCTGTGCATTTCTTTTCGCATAAGAAAGTATTCTTGTGCTTTAAATTTTAAATACAAAGATTAATATGATATGCGATCTTGAGTAGCTTGCGAATTGCGCAACCTTGAACCAATTTCTATTTTAAATGTTTTCTTTTGTCAACTTTTTCTTCGATTTGGCAATTTTTCTAAAAATAATGAAATAACAATTGCGTCACACGCGCGTAAAGTGAATGAAAATGGGAGGCAAATAGCAAAGAAGTGCTACAAAATATTAAGCATTTAAAAAGTATCTACAGCTGCGTGTAAGTTACGTGTAAGTTGGCCAATTAGGCATTCCTTCTAATGTTGGCCAATTAGTTAATCCTAACTGTGCACTTGACGTTTTGGTGCTGCTGCTTGTCATATATGTCTGTATATTCGAGTATGCATGACATTATTTAATTTATGTTCGCATTCTACAAATCCAACTGCAGAAAAATTTTCCATTTTGAATAATTTTTATTTATTACGGGAAATCTATTTTTGCGCCATGGGTATGCGTTTGGCTAATTGCCAGACCCAGAGACCACGCACTGTGCTTTGGTTTTGTGTGTGAACTCGAAATGGATGGGACAGGAGGGAAGGCATGTGTGGTTCTCCTGCCTCTTCTTTTTTTTTTTTGTTGTTGTTGCTGTTTTCCGGCCACATCATACAGCTGCCCATCATGGCTGCACTTTTCCATAATTACTCAGCCGCTAAATGTAAATTTGTATTTGTAAATTGTTTACACATTGCCATTTTTTGTTAACAGATTGTTTATTATTGCTGTTTTGTGTGCAGACATTAAATTGAGGTAATTTTAAGAAACTGAGTAAATATTTTGTTTAAAAACTCAGCAATTTATTTCATTTTTTTGACGCTTGAAAAGGGTCAACGATATTTTCATAATGTTTATGTTATCTCGGCAGCCACAAATTTATGTTTATTCGAAAAATAATTTTATAATTCGTAAGAATACTATAATCTAAAATTGATGAGAACATGCAAAGACTAATAGAATGAATGTTTCAACTGATCATTTCTATGACATATGTATATAGTATACAGTTTGTGTTTAATGACTGATTTTTTGCTCCGATAGCAAAAACAATAAGAAGAAGAAGGACAAACCCCCTGATGCAGTTTGTGGGCGTAGTACTAGAGTGAAATTGTTTGTTTCTCGAATGGCATTTCTTCAAATCACCGATTGGATGTAGTTTAAAACAAAAGTAGAGAATATATTACGCGTGCAGTGTTTGGTATGTGTAGCTTTGGAAAGGGGAACAGTGTTGTCTAGGTTCTTCAAGAAACTAAACACCAAGATTAGTTAATGTAGGCCCAGCCGTTTCCGAAATCCAGGCGTTCATCCGTGCAGACGTCAACTTGTCTTTATTTTTGGAACGCCTTGAACTTTCAAAAATGGAACTGACGTTTTATCCATCACTATCTGATGAACGTATCTGTAACTATGCCTGAAAATCTTTGTCTTATCCAATCTCTCTCCCAGTTATAAGCAGTTCGATGGTTGTAGAGATCATTGCTTTCATATAAAGTTGAAGTTCTAGCGCATATCGTTTTGTACTGGACTAAACGTTGCACCAAATGGCGTACATTTTCTGCATACTTTGGGAATTTGACAATGTCAAAGTCATTAGAAAATCCAAGCAAATCCAAAAAGCTACCATAAAACTATATGAAGAGAAAACAAACACTGCGATATTATCAAAGCAGATAGATACTGGAAAACATGATGTCATTGTGTTAATTCTGTATATGTACTATACAGGTATATAAAATGACTCTACTGATAATTCAATTAAGACAAACAAACCCGACTACAAAAAAACATATGTATGTTTGTATGTGGGAGCAGTGCCGGCAGCTTTTGCATTAAAAAATAACTAAAAGAAATACATGCGATGTACTAGAAAAAGTATCTTATCGTCTTCAGTTGTCTTTAGTTGGTGGTATCTTGTTTATTGGGTTTACTCGTATGCACGTTTGCCTTTTATGTCTGCCCGTCTGCGAGTAAGTTTGTTGTTGTTGCCAATATTCAGCGGACTTAATTACAAATGTACGAAATGTCGTCTCACACTTTATTCTTTTCTTTTACTTTTTTCCAGAGGAGCAAGAACGGGTGCAGAAGAAGACATTCACTAATTGGATTAATTCATACCTTTCGAAGGTGAGTTATATGTCTATCGCAAAATCGATTCATTTGAGTCTAAAATAAAGAGACTAAGAGAGAACAACTAACAAACTTTGTATGTCTAGCTGGCGTTAACTTTTTGTGGCATTGAAATTTGCATTTTGATTTGAATTGGATAAATCAAACTCGTGCGAATGTTGTGTCATTGCAAGGAGAAGGTTGCAGTGAACGGTTTAAATTTTAATGCTCGTGCCGCATTAAATTAATCATGTGAAGCAGCAGGCGATGCTAATCTATGGGAAATCTTTTAATTTTTACTACTTATTTTATATCTTTAAGTGCATTTGTTTAACAAAAATAACTATAGTTTACGTTTCTGGAGGCCGTGAAAATTGAGAGGCACACATTGAATGTCTGGCTTAGCCCATTTTTATAAAGGTTCAACATGGTGTATATAAACAAACAAAAGTAAAAAGGATTTTGGAATGTGTTTATATACATCTTGAAGTTACTGTTTATTATCTATCCTCAGGTTAAAAAAGCTTTCCAGGTGCCTGGCTTAACCCATTTTTTAAAAAAGAACCACATTTCAAAAAATAAAAATAAGTTGAATTTACTTTCTTTTGGACATAAGTTATCATCAGGTTAGGCTTTTGTAGTAAGACCGAATACCGAAGTCTGTCTTACCAAACATTTAATTAGTTCTCGTATGTATTTATTTGGTTTGTCAGCTTGGATTGCGGCAAGACTATCGCATCTAAGGCTTTGTGTTTTTCTACATTCGAAATGTAATCAGTGTGAAAAGCAATTTGAGCTGCAGGCAAACGTTTGCCGTTTACAGTTTTAACAACCCACTTTCACAGCGCTCTACCTTTCTAATTTAAGCGCCAATGATGCACTTTTCCTTTCACTAAATAAATAATTACACTTGACAACATTCTCGCCAAGATGATGCAGACAACTGTTGAGGCGTACTCTTCACTGCCAGTTGTCTACAGACGTATTGTTGCCCATGGCAAGGTGTCCGCAATTATGTCATAATAAAAAAAATTGGCGCCGCACACACCCACCAAGATCATGTGCCGACTTGGCGCTATTGAGCTGTCAAGCGCTATTTTCAAGCTCAAAAAAAAAAAAAAAAAAAAAAACAAACCGCCAACAACAATATGAATTATACAAGTATACATGAAAAAAATTTGCGATTCGACACAGTGGCCAAGCAGCGTGAGGCACTCTTCTATTGTTGTCGTCATGTCGTTGGTCGTGTTGGCTTAAGCGGCATGAATTAGTTAATAAATTTTAATCAAATAACATCAACAATAATGCGATGTATTTTTTCGGGTGCCAGGGTTTTGTTTTGTCCGACTTGACTGACTGAACTCGTTCACCTTGAAGTGAACTACATAGTCGAAAAAAAAGTGTATTTCGAACGCCCATTTACTAAGCGCGTGTTTATACATACATAGTGTATATACTTGTACATAGTACAATTTGCATTGCAAAGTACATACATGCATACCTACAAGTATATATGAGTATCTAATATATACATAGACAATTCAAGCGATAGGTGACAGCTCACCAGGCGAAAATGGTTAGCACAAACAAAAGTTCCAATAAGCAATAAGCAATACAAATTAAATAAATTAGTTTTTATTAGCACATTGCTGCTGGGTCATGCAATTGCTGTATATACGAGTATAGTGTTATATCTACAATATATATCGATTGTTGGTAAATATGTATGTGCGAGTGTGCATATACACATTTATTTATTGCTTTCAATGCAGTGCATTAATAAACATGTTTTGCAATTTCCAGCACAAAATTACAAATTGATTGGCCATTATGCACATTAAATGACTCACTCGCAAGTTGCATAATGTGGTAAGCTCCCTCGACTTTAACTTTACTGCCTCGCGACCTGACAATATATGACTTCAATCAAAATGTTGCCCACGCTTTAAAACTTACGAGTAGTACATACACATACTCGTACTATATAGTATGTGTAAGATTATGGTGGCACGCATGCCATGCCGGTCGCTCCTTTATTGTCTGCCAGTCAGACAGGCAGCAAGCCGTTGAGTGCTTTATGTGCGACAGGCATCAAGACTGGCTTTCTGCCTTATACTCGTAGATGGTGGCAAGCCGAAAGTTGCAACAACTGCAGAACTGGTTTATTTGGTTTATACTTGTATGTGTATGTATTTGCCGGCCAGCCGGCCGGCCGGCCGGCTTAAATTCGTACACTCGTACATCTACAAATGCCGGCAATGCTGCATGTCTGTAGATCTGAGTTGTCTAAAAAGATAACACATTTGGCTGAATATGTACTATATAAGCATATATAAATAAATATGTATACGAGTAAAGTATATGTTTGGCGCACACTCTCTAGAAAAGTGCACTAAATCAGTGTTGGGGTAAAAGTAAGTCAGTAGGCGTGCGATGCAACATGCGCGTGGGTTGCACGAGTTAATGGCAACTGCTGCGGGATGCTTGTGGGATGACAGAGCAGCAGGAACAACAATACGACTATCAGCAAAGGCCACACATAAAACGGAACTCGAGCTATTTCTTCACAGCAATTTATATGGTATAGCCGTGGGCTATACAGGCCATATTCTGGTTAACGAATTTAAATACAATAACATAGATTCTTTGATTCTATGTGCAGAAAACTTTTTAGATTGACGCTGCTCTTTCCTACTTACGCTTCCGAAATTTAACTACTATTATTAATAAGTAAATAAATTTTAAGCCAATACGGTCTTATCGAAGCTGCACCAGAATTCGTATATTTAGCATTTTTTATTTGAAATTGAGAATATGATGCTGATTGAATACAAACCTCTAAAGGAATTAGATAGTTGAATTAGTGGTACGGCAGTTCAGTCTAACATTTCGGTTTTTCCAATGCAGTGGTATAAGCTCCAGAATTTTTTAACTTGCAATCTAAGCGTATATAGAGTGATTTCTTTTTGAAGGTCCATATAGTGGAATAATAAATAAGGACACAAATCAATCAAATCAAATTTGGATATTAATGATTTATTCAAAAGAAGAAACAGCTTAACCCTGTTTTCCAAGACCTTTCTGGCTCTATTTAATGAATAGCTTGCTTGATATTTGTCTTAAGAGCCTGAATCATTAATGGATTGTTCGCATAACATCCCGGCTTGGTGCGATATCCTGCTAAAACTAAAGATCATTCATGACGTCTTTTTAGCGGGAAAAAGCTATCGCTGTCCAAATAACTTATGTATTTCATAATTTTGTGGCACAGTTATTTCTATAATCGTAAAATGCACTATGTGCTTCAAGTTCAAGACTCATACACAAATTTCAGGTATAAAACCTGAACCTTGATTTTATTATATATTCTGATATGACTAGATATTATATTCCATGCATGCAATAATAACATTTTTGGTCACCTTAAATAAAAACATTAGTGAAATCAAGAACATTGAAACAAGCATTTCGAAATATTTTTATAAAGACTTCAAGGCTTTAAAAGATGTTTGCCCAGCAATGCATATATCTTGAGATCCTTCTTAATAACTGACTGTTATTTTAATAAAAACTGGCTCTTCAGTAATCGTTTCTAATAGAGTCATATTACAGTTAACTCCTGACAGATTATTAATTTAATATGGCACTTATTGTTGAATCTAAATGAAACCTCGATTAAAAGAGTATAAATATAAAAGAACAAGTTATTTACAATGGTTTTTATAGAATATAAATCTTTTGAGATTCTTCTTAGTAACTGGTTGTTATTTAGTAAAATGGTCTACCTAGTCGTCGACTCTAATGGAATATTAACTAATTTACTATGATACTTATTGTTGAATCTAAATGCAATCAAAAGCGTATTAAATAAAATACACCTTGTTGTTTTTCTGATCAAGTTATTTTAAGAACCACTGTACTGAATATTAACTGCAGGCAACTGTGTTAACGTTTTATTGTGGCGCTTTTTCTCAAGTACACGTTTGCGGCCGGTTTGTTGCATTGCATCGCATACGTTTCTATTTGAAGTCACTCTTAGTCGAGGTTTCTGTTGCATGCCTCTGAACTTGGCTGGTCTACTGCTATTTCGCTATGACTTTGCATTGTCGGGCAGACAATGTTGAATGCATTTGTGGAATTTCTCGCATTAGCAAATTCTATGCGCGACTGGGTGCGTAGACTGCAAGTTATTTATGTAAACGTGTACACAGCAGACGAGTTCAATGACAAATGACAGATAAACAAGTTTAGTATACTTGAATACTTGTACATGCCTCACGGAAGGAAAAAAGTGCTGTGGTAGCAAGGTAAATAATTAAGTTGGACATAGTGTAGTAGGAGTTACCAAAGCGACGCCTCGCATTTGCCAGCCCAATATCAACAACAAAATGATGAGAACAACGACAAAAGGTTGTCTTTGAAGTTTTTGACACAAATGGTAGACAACGTCATAAATTTTGCGGCTCAAAAAGAATGGCGTACGATGTGCTCATCCTGGGCAGGAAACGTTGAAATTGATTTCACAAGGCAGCGGCATGCTAGTGTTATGTACTTTATTGTAGCATAGTATCTGAAGTATTATATGAACAGGAAACAAAAGTTTTGTAGCTCACAAGAACTTTGCCGCTATTTGCATGTCTGCACAAGTTGGACAAAGTTTACACAAACTATTTTGGGCCTTGCTTCGACTTCCCGGCTGGAAGGTGAGAGGGCGAGAGGGTGAGAAGGAAAGCAAAATGCACTGCTCAATTAAATGCTACACTCAATTACAATGGCTGCCTGCCACTTCCGTTGCTGCCTACGTCACCAGCATAATGCTTTTAACTCAAATCGTAATCTTTGCGGCATAGTTTGCGGTAAATGCCTGAGCGTGCTAGTCTCCAATTTGTCTTGTACGCAATGGAAATCTAGACAAATTATCGCCGTACCCAAACTATTTAAACTATTTTAATTGATTTAATGTGTCTCGACTCTAACTGTGGCCATTTTTGGTGCGCGATTAAGCGCGTCAATGTTTTATCGTCAATTAAGCGAACACGAGTGCCATTCGTATCCAATAGGGGTGCTTTGTAATTGCACCTAGTTAGCTGAAACGTATGCAAACATGTGAAAGCAATGCGAAATTGTAAAAACGTGTTAACTGCTCCATAAAGTCCTTTGATTGAATTCATATATTCCGGCTGTTTTGCACAATTCGTCCATCGTATAAAGCAGCCATAAAAATGTAATTAAGTACTGTAACAAAAGGCACTTCAAAGCATCTGCCGACAGTTGGCGACTATTTAAACAAAAGCGGAACAGTAGTTTTGTAGACTATTGTTTGCTTCAGACGTAACCTTAACCCTTCGTATGTCTACGTATCGCTTAAACTCAATTATTTTACAATGTAGTACTATATGCGTAAAAGTTTCTATTTGATGTAGTTCTGCATTATTTTAAGTTTCTTTGATTTGGTTGCACTGAAATAAGCTAGTGAATTGAAAATATGTTCACTTTTGGCACAAATTTTGTGATTCGTGCATTAAATTAAAAGAGCATCCACCTAACCTATTGTAATTTATTTACGCTCAAAATATATTATACTTTTAATTAACAATTAATCTATAAACATTTCTTTTTACTTTTTCTTGCAGCGTGTTCCACCGCTTCGCATCGATGATTTAATCAATGATTTACGCGATGGTACGAAACTCATTGCATTGCTCGAAGTTCTATCCGGCGAACGTTTGCCCGTGGAGAAGGGTCGTGTGCTGAGACGTCCACATTTCCTTAGCAATGCCAATACAGCCTTACAATTTTTAGCTAGCAAACGCATCAAATTGGTCAATATTAATCCCGCAGATCTGGTGGATGGGAGACCACCAGTTGTGTTGGGTCTGATATGGACGATCATATTGTACTTCCAGGTGAGCTTGCAGTACAAAAATAAATATCTCTACAACAATTTATTGGTCACACATTGGCACACGAGTGGAGTACACCATTTAGATTGGCACCCGTTCACAATAAATCCAGATCGATTGATAAGAAATATTGAAATTGTTAGTTGTGCACTCTTCCATCCGAATCCTTACAATTTTGTTTTGCACCAAAGAGCAAGGCACAAAATGCTAACGATAAACGTAATGTTACTCAATTAACCCTCTATACCTTTCTTTCTGTACTTTATATTTTTCGAAAATTCAATTCAATTCACAAGCTTCGTAAAAAGAGGCGGAAAAACTTAGTTGTAGTTATAAATTATGCGCCACAGGTAGGTCGCTGATTGTTGGTCTATGTAACTGTAATTGTTGTTGTACTTCATTTTCTTTTGAGTAGTCATTTTTATTTTTAAGTTGATAGTCGATTCTTCTTAAAAGCACAAAGTCATCATTAAAGTTAAGTATTAAATTATTAATACCCTAATGCTTTCCACAGATCGAGGAGAATAGCCGCAACCTAGAATATTTGGGTCATGGTATTGGCGGTTCGGTTAGCTCGCTCGACAGCGTTGGCAATCAAAAGGCTGGCGATCTAAAGGCTGAAAAATGGAAGCAGGGAGCCAGAAAAACACTGCTAAATTGGGTTACAAATGCCTTACCAAAGTGAGTAAAGAATTTAAAAAAAAAAAACTGATGGTGGGACATTAAGCTAAACCAAAAATTTGGAATTGCAGAGACATTGGTGTGGAGGTTAAAGATTTTGGCGCCAGCTGGAGAGATGGTGTCGCTTTCCTCGCACTTATCGATGCAATTAAGGCAAATTTGGTTAACTTGGCTGAGCTAAAGAAGACTAGCAACCGCCAGCGCTTGGAGACAGCTTTCGATGTGGCCGAAAGCAAGCTGGGCATTGCCAAGCTATTGGATGCTGAGGATGTGGACGTACCTAAACCGGATGAGAAGAGCATAATGACATATGTGGCGCAGTTCCTGCACAAGTATCCAGAACCAAAGGTATTTATAAATTGCAAAAACCCTCAAAGTTCATATAAATATATCTTGCTTATCTCTCGAAATAGGGTGCAACACGCGATCAGTCGCATGTGCAGCAAGAGCTGGACGAATTGCGTCGTTTCTTGGTGGAGAAGACCACCGAATACGAACCAATGGTCATGATGAACTCGTTCCCACGTGACTTTGGGGAATATATGCTTGCACGCTCTGAAGTAGATGCACATTTGCCTGCTTACAATCGCTTGAAGCAATTGATGGAGAGTCAGAGCGGTTTTCTGCAGGTCTCACGCCAGTCGTGGGATGAGATCAACGAACTGTGGCAGCGCCTACAATACCAGATGATGTACTGGCTTTGGTTATTGGATGCCGAACTGCCCGGTGATTTCGGTACGGTTGGCAAATGGCTGGCCGAAGCCGAAAAACTACTCATGGACAATGAAATACCCAGTGCGATGAACGAAGAAACTGCAGCAGTGATTAGTAGAAAGCTGGAGGAGCATAAGCTGTTCTTTGCCGACTTGCCACGCATTATGGCCATGTTTGATAATGCCAAACGCTCGCCCTTGGCGCAGCAGGTTCCGTTGGAACAGTTGCGAAACATGGAGCGTCGTCTTCAAGATGTCGCACCCAAGGCTGCTGAGCGAAGAATCCGATTGAAATTCCTTGAACATAAATGCTGTCTCATTGCCTTCCTTAATTTAGTGGAAAATAAAATGCGTGGCTGGACCGGGAAATATGGTCACGAGGAGAAGGTAGTGCAACAGTTAGAGCAATACAAGAACTTTGTCTCACGCAACAAGATTTTCCAAGAGTTCCAAAAAGCTTTTGTTGATATGCAGCAAGTGGTTGATGAGTACAAGCGTGAGGGCAACGTGGCCCGCAAGGATGTCACCGATATTGATCGTTTCATGTACGAGACGGAAGAGCGCTGGAAGCGTGTCTCCATGGAACTAAAGTGTTGCCAGAACTCACTCGAAGAAGTGGTAACTTGTTGGCGCAACTGGAATCAATTGGCCCCAAGCTGTGAGGAATGGTTGCTGTTGGCTGAGCAGAAGCTGAACCAAACCGAAGACGAGCGTCTTGAATTTTTCCAAGACATCAGCATGTGGAAGGATAAATTCGATGCCCTTGCCAACGCCGCTAATTATTTAATTGCCTCATGTGAGGAGCCTATTGCGCAGAATTTGCGTCAACGTCATGGGGCGCTTGCCGAACGCTTCGAACGCCTGTTCGCTAATACAAAGCAATATGTTCATGCAGGTGATATTATACGTTCACGACAGGAATACAAATCGGGCATTGAACAGCTGTCGAAATGGTTGCGCAACGCAGAAGCCGTTCTGGATCAGCGTCAGGTGCTCGGCAACAGCGAACAAATTCGTAAATATGGCGAGCAATTACAAAAACTTGCCAGTGAAATTGACGACAATGAAGAGCTCTTCAAGACAATCAGCCGCAATTTCCAGGCACTGATACAGGACCTCTCACGCGATGAAGTGGACAAGATGATGAAATTGCTGAAACAGGAAAAAGAGTCCCTAGTTCGCATACGTGCGCAAATACCCGCCAAACTGCATTTGTTCCATCAACTAGAAATACAGCAAGAATCGCTGGAGGCTGGCCAAAAAGAGATACATCAATGGCTAAATGAGGCAGAACAGGTGTTAAGCACGCATTCGTTGACGGGTGGGCGTAATGCCATCAACGACGAACTGAATAAGCATAAGACCTTCTTCTCGCGCACTGTCTACTATCGTTCGATGTTGGAGAGCAAGAATAAAGTTTTCCAGAATCTCCTGAAGGCTGTGACAGCCGATGATAAAATTGATACAGCACCAGCCGCACGAGAAATGCAACAGCTAAACGAACGTTTTAATTATGTCATACAGAATGCAGAACAATGGGAGCAGCGTTTAAGTGATGCTGGTCGCTCCTGGAACAATTTCACGAATAACGAACGTGTGGTAAGCGAATGGCTAACTCAGGCGGAATCCATGCTAATAGAGAAACACATCGAGTCTAAGACAACAATTGAAACCCAAAAGTACTTCTTTGAGAATGTTAATGAGCGCTGGATGAACGATCTGGTGCAGTCTGCACAGCAGGTGCTCACAACCTTGCCATCAGCGGAACAACCGGCTGTAGTGCAGACCGTCGAACAACTACAAACGCGTTGGAAAAATGTGCTCTCACAAGCACCTCTTCATTTACTGAAGCTGGAGTTCCGCCTGGACGAGAATGCCTTCTACCAATCTCTTAAGGATGTGGAAAAGGAGTTACAACTTGAGAAACAGGCACTCAATCGCAATGAGGATGTAGACTCAATACTAAGGCGAAATGAGCAGTTCCTACTGCAGCAAGGTGCTGTACCACGCATTGAGAAGTGTCTTCAAAACATGCAGCGTCTTAGCCAAGCGCAAAGACAACAACAACCTGGTGACATGAGTCTAGAACAGGCGTATGACAACGCAAAGGCACAATGGCAATTGTTTTCGAACAAATTGGGCGAGATGCGTCAAACTTTGCAACAAATACCCGCTCAATGGGATGGCTATCATCAGAAATTCAACGAGATGATCGATTGGATGAACAGTGTGGACATGAGCTTGAAGAGCATCGTCAACGAGGTGAACACCATGGAAGAGTTTGAAAAGGAGAAGGTTGTTTTCCAGGTGAGATACTTATTAAAGACGCTCGTTTTTTAAAAAAAACTTAAAAGTTCTCTTTATTCTAAATATAATGCTTGCGTGCAGCTAAGGGAGCTAGTGGTAATACCTTTGCTTTTGCTTCTTAAATAATAATAAAAAAATGTTTCTAAGATGCTAATGCTTTTCTGTTTTCCCGCAGAAAATCTGTCAAGATGCAGATAACAAACGTGAGGACATGAAGTGGTTGGTCAAAACATTGGATTCCTTGCTTAGCTACGCTACTGAAGATGAGGCCAACATTGAGCAAAAGAAGCTGGAGGATCTGATAGCACGCTATAAAAATCTTATACCCACGATTGAGATAACAATGGTAAAGACTGAGGTCTTCTCTAAGTGCTACACCTATCGTCGCGAGGTTCATGAGGTTGTGTGCCTGCTAAGCAAGGTTAAGGACCAAACTGCCAATATACCTGCTCCAGATAGCTTGGATCGTGTAAATCGCATGATCGAGGAACAGCAGTATGCCATCAATCAGCTCGACCATCAGCGGCCACACATAATGTCAATGTTGCAACGTGGACGCGATCTCAGCAAGGATGTACATGCACCTGCCTTTGTCAATACCGAGGTTAAGAATCTCGAAACTGGATGGAATGAGGCCTACACTGAAACCGCTGATAAGCTGCAAGCACTCAAGGGCACCCAAGCCGTATGGAGTGATTTCGTCGATCAGAAGAACGATATATTCTCCATGCTACAGACAGCTGAAACCGAGTTGCGCGCACTAACACCACTCCAAACTGATCCCAAAAACGTCAGTCAGGATCTTAAGTCGAAACGCGATTTAAATGTGCAATTGCAGCAGGCATCCCATCAGCTTCTACCGAAACTGCACGCACTTAAGACAGAGCTTGCGCCTCTGGCCGCAGCCGATAAGCGACCCATACTCGAGAAAGAGGTAACTGAAGTTGAGAAGATGTTCTTTAATACTATGGAACATGTGAAAGACCGTGTGGGATACCTAGAAGACTATAGTGCCAAATGGAATAACTACAAAACACGTTTGGCTGAACTACAGGAGTGGGCTAACAAGGTGGCACCTAAAAATATCGAAGCTTTGCAGTCTGAAGATCTAACCCCTGAAGAACGCGTTGTCAAGGTGCAGTCCTTTAAGCGTGTACTAGCTGATCGCATGAAACAACTTGATCTACTGGCCGCTGATGCATCCGAACTGGCACCTAAAGAGGGCAACATTGCCGAGGCGAAGCGATTGAAGGGTGAAATCACGAAGCTACAGGAAGTGCTTAGCGCCATCAATCGCAATGTCGACCATCAATCACAGGCCGTGCAAGAAGATTTGGTTAACTGGCAGCATTTCCAGGCCGGTTTACAGCAGATAAAGCCCGCTGTGGAGCAGAGCGAAATCAAGGTAAATAATATTGTCCCTAAACCCATTACCCTTGAAGAAGCTGTTGCCATGCAACAAAATGCCAAACAATTTGAAACACAATGCCTGGACCAATTGGACAAACTCCAAGGCATCTCAAACATTAGTCATAAAATGTTGTGCAAAACCAATGCCCCCGATGAATTAGATGCCATGCACTCCCGCTGGACTGCAGTTCATGAAAATGCAAAGCAGGCGAGCGCGAAGCTCGAGAAACTGGTCGCGAATTGGAAATCATTTGATGAAGATGCAGCGAAGCTTGAGAGCTGGATTAATCAGGGCGAGCAGCTATTGGGTAAAAGGTCGGCGGTGTTGAATACCCCACACATTGATAAACTGGAGAAGGAGCTGGTCAGGCTTAAGTCCTTCAACAATGAGATTTCCCAGCAACAAGCCAAACTGGTGACTCTTGGACAGAATGCAGATCAAATCAGCTTACATTTGGCACCAGAAGGTGCTATAGACATCAAAGATCGTGTTAATTCCATGAAAGGCAAATTACATAAATTATCTGAGAGTAACCGTGCTAACATAAACGAAGTGTCAGATGCTATAATTTCTCGTCAAGACTTTACCGCCAAGATGGTTAACTTTTCCAATTGGATGGAGCAGTTGCGCAATCAAGTTTCTCAAGTTGAAGAAATAAATCCCGAACGGGTAGAAACAAGCCTGCATGTCGTCCACGCATTACTGCAGGAACATGCCGATAAGAAGCCCAGTTTTAATGCCATCTACGATGAGGTTAAACAACTGACTCTTGGCGCAACACCAGAGGAATCTAATGCACTCAATGACGCATACACTGCGTTAGTAGTCAATTATCAGAATCTCGAAACGAACATGCTGCAGAAGAAGGCGGCACTGGAAAAGTGGACAGAACTTTTGGGTTGGAAACATGATACCGAATCACACATGAATTATTTGAAGCATCAGCTGGACAAACCAGAGGGTCCCTCAGCCGACGAGCTAAAGAAGACCATTGACGAGATTGGTCATCTGGGCCAAGGCCTCAACTACTGGAAGGGTCAAGCCAAGGAAATCGATGAGCATCCAGCCATACAATTGCGGGATGGACTCTCGCGCCGCCCACTGATTGCCACTCAAATCGTAAATGATGTAGAGAACAAGCTGGAGAATCTCAAACTGCGCTCACAGAATCAGAAGCAGCAGATTGAACAAATGAGTGTGCGAAAAGATAAGTTCCATGCTCTGGAGAATAACTTTGGCAAAGCATTGCAGGACAATCGTGCTAAGCTTGATCAAATCTTGAAACAACGTCCCACCCTGAACAATATAGATCAGATTATTGCCGATCTGGTGACCTTAAACGAAGCGCTCAAGCACCAGTCGGAACTGAAAGATCGCATTCATGACGAAGGTTCAATGTTGATGCGGGAAGACATTGGAAGTATGCCCGCCATACAAGAGAGTCTTCTGGTATTGGATAAAAATTACGATTCGCTGCAGAATGAAATTGCCGATCGCATTCAAAAATATAATCTCATCAGTCAGGCCTTACGCGAATATGCTGACTCAAAGGACAAATTTTCGAAGGAGCTTAGAAAAGCAGAGGATTTGTTCAATTCGATTGCACAACAGCCCCATGATGAGCACGAACTTCAACAGGCTTCAGAAAAAACACGCAAGACAATGGAGCAACTACGCAAATCGAAAGTAAATCTCGATGAGCTAGAGCGTCGGGGCAACAATGTAGGCAAACTTTTTGCCGCCATTGGGGAATCAGTGCCACAAGAGGTGCCACAGGAAGTTTCCGCTGCCAAGCAACAGTGGCAGGAGCTGCACGACAAGAGTGCCAGGAATGCGCATGTCTATGAAACTGAAGCGGTGATTTGGTCGCACATTGAAGACGCCAAGAAAGATTTACTGCCCTGGCTGTCTGAGACAAATCAAGGACTTTGCGATGCAGCCGATAATACCATCGAGATCGAATTCGGTCCAATGAGGTTGAGCAAGTATCGTACCGAGCTGCCATCGTATCAATCCTTAAAAGACACAATTGCCGAAAAAACAAGAGATTTGGTCAAAATGAATAATGGCGCAGAAATACCTGCGTTAACAGCACTCAATCAGTTATTGAATGAACAATTTGCCGAAGTCACTAACAATGCTGATCGTCTAAACGCCATTACGACATCATTCAATGACCAAGAACAGGAATTGCGTAAACGTACCAAAGCCGCTGGGGAAAATGTAAACAAAGTCCGGGAACAGCTAATAAAGTGCGATGACATGTCCGGTGACAATAACAAAATCATGGAACGTTTGCTTCAAAGTCGGGCACTGCGTGCCGAGCTTGGAAATTGTGGCAACGAAATCGAAAATATAAAGCAGAAAGTCGATGAGCTACGCAGCTTGTATCCTACATTCAATGAGTCCATTATGCCCAAGGAACTTAACAATGTGCAGAAACGCTACGAAGGTGTTGATCTCTATGGCCAGAAAATCGAAAGTTCATTGCTAAAGTTCCTCAAAAAATTCCATGCCGACAAAGTTGGCATGCTGAAGCGCATCATCGCAACGCAACGTGAGAAGGTTGCCTGGTGTCAACCGGAGTCTTCAAGCGACAAATATAACTTGGATGTGAAGAAATCATCTTTGCAAGAGGTTGGCAAGAGCATTGACGATTGCAAGGCACGCCATGCAGAAACACTGAAATCTCTGGAAATGCTTAAAGCCGTGGAAGCGCCACAAAATTTGGCGGAACTTAATCGAGATGCTGAGCTGCTCACAAAAGAAATGCAGGCGCTGCAAGATAGCTTCGATAACATCAAAAACATTCTGGATGAGAATGTCGATTTATGGTCGCAGTACGAGCAATCCAATGAACAAATTTCGAATTGGTTGCGTGATGTAGAGGGACGCGTAAAGGCCGAGACAAGCAGCCAGGTTAATATGCCAGAAGTATCGCAGAAACTACAACAGCTCGCCATACTTCAACAGGATGTGTTGGCACATGAGCCAATTATCAAGAACTTGGAGCAAACATCTCAGCAATTAATTGAGAAGAATCCAGAGGCGCGAATTGGCCAGTTTGTGACACATCTCGTGCAACGCTACCAAACTGTTGCCAAGAGTCTTGCCAATTACATCGACAAAATACGCAGCGCGCAATTGTCCAATACGAATTTCGCCAAAGCATCTAAGGACTTTAACGAATGGTTCGGCGATGCCAAAATTGAGTTTCAAGAGCTGGCGCGTATGGGTTCTCCTGGTTCGTCATCGGCAACCGCTCAACAACTCCAAACGATTAAGAATTATTTGAAGACCTTTGACAATGGCCAGCAGCTGCTTAACAATGCTGTTGATATTGGTGAGGCTTTGTATCCGGTCGTTTCGCCAGAGAATCGTGAGCGTATCCGGGCCGACTTACGCCAAATGCGCGAAAAGTATGATTATCTACGTGACGAGGCTAATGCACTTATGCAGCAGGTCGAGGGCGTCCTTATACAAAAGACATCTATTGAGGAGAGCTACACGCAAGTGTCCCACTACTTGAATGAATCTAGGGCAAAGGTAAGCAGCGGCGACGAACTGTATCCCACTCTGGCTGCCAAAAAGGCGGCACTCCAAAATTACAAGACACAACTCCAAGAAATTACATTGCATAAAAATGCACTGAAACAATTGCATGACAAGGCCGTTACTCTTTGTGATGACGAGTCTGAGCGCAAAACAGACGAGTCAATTCAAGAGTACAACCAGCTATCGCAGAGAATCTCTGACCGTATTAACACCGTTGGAAATCATGTGGTCAAGCACGAGGCATACGATCAGGTGTTGGAAAAGGCACAGGACTGGCTCAACACGATCAAATCGGAGGCCATAGATATACTGAATGAGACTACATTCGAGAAGGAAGGGGCTGAAGAAAAATTGATTGTGGTTGAGAATTTGTTGCAGCACAAGCCAGAGGGAGATTCCATCTTTGACACCTGTCACAAACTCTTGGAAACAGTACTCACACAAACACATCCAAACGGACATCCCGCCTTACTGAAAGGTTTTGAGGAGCCCAAGCGTGCGTGGGATGAATTTATGATATTGTGTCAGGATTCGCTGGTTAAGCTTAAACAGCTTTGCTCCAAGTGGGATGAGTTTGATTCTGTTATTGAAGAACTAGACAACTGGATGAGAAATGTTGAATCTGTTGTCAAGAACCAGAACTTGAAGAGTACTGCTGACGCAAAGAACGGACATTTGAAACAACTCAAAGACATAGCCAAGGAAATTGAGCATCGTGGTGCTGCCATTAACGATCTAATGGATCAGGGTCGTGAAATTGAGGGCGAAACGGATCTTAACTTAAAGTTATCTCGCCTGAATACACGCTATCAAACATTAAAGAATCTATGCAAAGAGTCTATAGCAAAATATGAGAACTATGTCAAGGACCACGAAAGCTTTGATAAGGACTATGAAGCGTTCAAGCAGAATCTTGAAACATCTGTCAAGACACTGGCCAAAGCAAATGAAATCGTCGGCGATCAAAGTGTGCTGCAAGAACAACAAAACAAATTGCGTGAGATGTCCGACAAACGCATCACAGATTCAACTGTCTTTGAGGGCCTTATTGATCGTGGTGAGAAGCTCTATGGCCACACCAGCCCAGATGGCAGAGAGATCATTCGCCAACAGTTACGCGCCTTACGCACCATGTGGGACAACTACACGGATGACTTAAATTCTGCCACGCAAAAGATCGATCAGTGTCTATTGCAGTTTAATGAGTTCAGCATAGCGCAGGATCAACTGACGAAATGGTTAAAGGATGTTGACAAGGCGATGCAGAGCCACACCGAGCTAAAGACCACATTGCAAGAGAAGCGTGCACAATTGCAGAACCATAAGCTGTTGCATCAGGAGATTACCACACATAATGTGATGGTAGACAATGTGTGCGACAAGGCCCAAGTACTTGTAGATCAACTCAAAGACAACTCACTGAACGTTTACCTTCAATCAATAAAGCAACTCTTCCAGAACATTGTGCAGAAATCCAACGAAATTTTGAACAATTTGGAGGACTGTGTACAGAAGCACAATGATTTGAATAATGCGCTCAGTGGAGCAAAAAGCTGGATTGGAAATGAAAAGTCAAAATTGCTCGAGTGCGATGATGCTTACGGCGAGAAGGCTGACATAAAACGCAAGATTGAAACACTGGTTCAACTGGCACAAAATAAACCTCAGGCTCTTAAACTAATCACTGAAATACGTGAACAATTCGACAAAGTAAAGCCAACCACTTCTGAGAAAGGCAATGAAGTATTGTCGAAAGAAATTGATGAACTTGAAATAACAATGAAGAGTCACTTTGACGATATCGAGGGCATTGAAGGAAAGCAGAATGATGTGTTGGCCCAATGGGATAAATTCGAAAAGACGTTAGAAGATCTCACTCAGTGGTGTCGCAACGCCGAGGCAGTTTTCCGTGAACAACAACTAAAGTCCACATTGCACGAAAAGGTCGAACAGCTGGAAAAGTATAAAATACAGCGTGAGCTCATTTTGCAAAAAGAGAAAGAAGTTGACGCTTTTGGGGATGCAGTGCACGCTTTGCTCAACAACTGTGGTGCAGATCGTTTGAAAACGTTGGCAACTCAAATAACAAACCGTTATCAATTGCTGCAGGTATTGAGCAAAGAGGTGGTCAACCGCTGGTCCAATCTGGTGGATGACCATCAGTTTTATCAGGACAAATACAATGAAGTGGATCTATGGCTGCAGCCAATCGAAACGCAGTTGGACAAGGCGCTCAAAGATGAACTCACACAGAATGCGAATATTTTACAGATATTGTTGTCTGAGAAGGAGCAAGCTGATAGCTTGTTTACTGCCCTCAATGCAGCTGGTGAGAAAGCGCTGCCTGAGACATCCACACAGGGTCGTGAGAAAATACGTAAGGATTTGCGTGACATCCGCGACCGTTGGGATAAACTAGATGAGGGTATTCGTAATTTGCAAAAACGGCAAGAGGCACAAACTGTTCAATTATCCAGCTATCAGGATATTTTAAATCAAACAGTAAGCTGGTTAGACCAAGTAGAAAAGTTGCTGCACAATGAAAACCCGTCCACCTGGACAAGCGCACAGGAAATACGCTCAAAGCTATACAAATACAAGAGCACCACCCAAGACATAAACTCGCACAAACGTATTATCGAAGCCGTCAATGAAAAGTCCACGGCTCTACTCAACAGTGCGCCACAGACCAATGCTGATGAAATAAAGAAGGCTGTTGCCGACGTAAACAAACGTTACGACCAAGTCAGCACTGACTGTGCTAAACTGGTTGCAGATTTGGATGCCGCCTTCGATGTTTACCAACAGTTTAGTGAACTTCAAAAGGCACAACAGGACTATCAGAAGAATCTGTGGGATCGTCTTGCAGGCTACTCCGATTATTCTGGCAACAAGGCTGCACTGCAAGCACGTCTGCAAAAAATTACTGAAATTCAAGATGCCCTGCCTGAAGGTGTAGCCAAATTAAAGGCTCTGGAACAACAAATTGAACAGGATGCCACTAATATACCTGCCCGCTCAAAAGAGGCAATGGCACGGGATTTGGCAAACCTTCACGCCGATTTCGAGAAGTTCGGTAATTCGTTGAGTGACGTCAAGAGCGGATTGGAAAGCCGTTTGCAGCAATGGAATGATTACGAAATCAATTTGGATCGTTTGATTAACTGGTTGTGTGAAGCGGAAAATGCGTTGAAAAACTACAATCCAAAGGCATCGTTAGAGGAGAAGGAGGAACAACTAAATCGCTTCCAGAACTTGACACAAACTCTTCGTCAAAACGAAGCTGACTTCGAAAAGATGAAAGATGACACCTCCGAGCTCGTGCAAAGCTCTGGCGAAACAAGAATCGCCGTCAATGTTCAACAAGTTTCGTCCCGCTTCCAATCGATACAAGCAACGGCCAAGGAAATTCTAAAGAAATGCGAGCAATCCGTGCAGGATCACACTCACTTCAATGAAAAATATAACCAATGCGCCGATTGGTTAGCTAGCGCGCAGGCCAGGTTTGATGATTGCAGCGACATGGCTCAAGTTGGATCGCGTGATGATTTGCTGAAGAAACAGGTTGTCATACAGGAATTGCTGGCACAGCAGCCTAGCGCTACTCTCCTTCTTAACGGTACCGTTGAGTTCGGCGAGAAATGCTACGCATCTACGGCTACTGAAGGACGTGAAGCCATACGCAGTCAGCTCGATGAGTTACAACAGACTTTTGATCAGCTTTTTGATAATATCACGAGCACTGCTCGCAAACTACAGGACAAGATGTCCAAGTGGTCAGGTTTCGACGAAATTGCTGACAAACTTGAGGGCTGGTTGAATGAAATCGAACGCACACTTCCCTCTGAAATAGAGCTAAAAACAACATTGGATGAGAAGCGCAACAAACTGCAGTCATACCGAGATGCCCTTAATGACATCAACAACCACCAGGTAGAGCTTGGCAATTTACAGGAAATTGCGGCAAATCTGCCCGAAAAGACCGAACATGTGGATCAGATTCTAAAGGATATTGTCGATAGGTTTGGTAAAGCGCAGAAGCGTGCTCAGAACTACGTCCAGCGCTACGAGAGTATTGTGAGCGATCATCAGCAATACTCAAAAGCCGTCATGGATGCTCAGGAGTTCATTGATGCCACACTTAACACTGTCCATTACTGGGGTGACTTAGATCTGGAGCAAATTTCATTGCATACCAATCTTGATCGATTGAAGAACTTGAAGGCAAGCCTTGCTGATGAATTTCCGCGTGTCGATCAAGTTCGTGCCCTGGGTGAGAAAGTTATACCAGGAACCGTGGATGTTGGACAGATAAATATCAAATCCCAAATCGATACTACGCAACAAGAGTGGGAAGGCCTTTTAGCTGCAATTACCTCCACAATTGAGGCAATAGAGCTGCGTTTGCAACAATGGGCTGAATATGAGCAATTGCGCGATCAATGTCTATCTTGGATTCGCGACACCGATAACAATCTACATGCCATCGATCTGAAAGAAGATCTACCCAAGAAACGTGCTCAGCTGGATGCACTTAAAGCATTGCAGGGAGATGTGCGTGCGAAGGAACTAGAAGTAGACAGCGTCACTGAGAAAGCGCAAACACTGCTGAAAGGTCCATCAAGTACCCGTGCTTCCGGTCCCGAACTAGTGACTAAATACCAACAAATTTTCCACAAAGTGAAGGACTTGAATAGTCGTTGGCAGCAGTATGTGGTCTCACATGACGAATTCGATACTGCTCTCTTTGATTGCAAGTCCTGGATAAATGGCATCAAAGAAAAACTTGATTATTGTTCTGATACTTCATCAATGAGTCAAAAGGAGCTTGACAAAAAATTATCCACAATACAAGACGTAATTCTCCTTAAAGATGAGGGCTCGGCACGTGTTCTTAAAATACTAGAGCAAGCACAACATGTTTTGGCCAATACAGCACCCGCCGGACATGAAGCCATTAACAAGGAAATAACTGATTTACAAGATCTTTGGTCGGGTATTGCATTGCGCATAATGGATGTTAAATCAAACCTTGACGATTCTATTACACAATGGTCTGGATTTTTGGATCATGTGCAAAACGTGCGCAAATTTAACGAATGGCTAGACGGATTGCTTAAAGAATTGGCGGAACACCAAACCACAATGACAGAGAAACGGGCACAACTAGATCGTGTCAAAACGACCGAAGAGAAGGTACGAGTTGAGAAAATTGATGTCGACGCGCTGAAGATTCAAGCAAAGGAAATGATTGCCAGCGGACAACAAAGCCAGGCTGCTTTCCAGGCTCAAAAGGTGCTGGATACTTTCGATCAATTGTTTGCCAAAACACAGAAACTGCTTTCCGATCGCCAGGATCAGTATAGAGATCATCGTTTGTTCAAGGAAGCATACGATGATCTCGTTAGCTGGATTAGTCGCGCACGTGAAAAGTTCCCAGCGCTGAAGCAAAGCAGTCTTAGCGACAAGCTGGCCATTGAGAATGCCGTGCAGGCAACTGAAGCTCTACTGAACAAACAAGCCCAGGGTGAGCTTTTGGTCGAGCACTTGGTGCACACTGGTGAAGTGGTTTTAGCAAGTACGTCGACGCAGGGCCAAGAAATCATACGCAATGATATACGCGCACTACGTGATAGCTTCGAAAGTTTGTTCCGTGAGATCAGTCAGCAGAAAGAAAACTTGGAAGTTACCATGGTGCAATGGCGCGCATATAAAGAGGAGTATGAGCGACTCATGGAGTGGTTGCAGCAAATCGATATACTTGTTAAGAATCACAAACTGAATCTGTGCCCCAATTTGCCGGAGAAAGAAAAGCAGGTTGCCGATATGCGTGAAGTAATGTCGCGCTTGGAGAAAGGAAAACAAGACATTGAAAAATTCAATGCTTCCGCAGCTGGCTTATTAAAATCGCATCTAGATACATATGTGAACAATCAGCTACGACACCTTAGCTCAATGTACCAGGTGCAAGTGAATTTAGGCAAGGATGTGCTTAAAAAGGTCGAAACAAATCGCGATCAGCATCGTGAATACGACGCCAATATGAAATCGGCCAAGGACTGGATTGCTAATGCAAAGGCAACCATACAATCAGCAGGTGAAGGTGCAGGTTCAAAAGAAGCCTTGCAGCGTCGCTTGGAGCAGATCCAAGATTTGATTCGCAACCGGGAGGTAGGCCAGAACTTGGTACACACTGCAATCAATAATGGCGAAAAAATCATTCGTAATACACGTTCCGATGGGCGCGATTCAATTAACAGTGAAATGAAAGAACTCCAGACTGAGTGGGACAGGCTTGTGAAGAAAATGTCGACGGCCAAGGTGCAACTGGAAACAAATTTGTTGCAATGGGCTGACTATAGTTCTAGCTACTCACAGCTACAGCAATGGATCACAGATAGAGAGGCCAAGTTACAACAAGCGTGCGAGCAAAAGGTTGTCAAATCGAAACGTGGTCAACCCGGACTTAGCAGTGGTTTAAGCGAACGTAAGGCTAATCTGCGTCAGACCAACAACATAGTGCAGGATATTGTTTCTTTTGAGCCAATGATTCAGTCGGTGACTTCCAAGGCTTCGGACTTACAACAAGGTGCCCCTGCTACAGAAATATCAGACAAATACGAGAATCTTACGAAGCAAGCGAAGGATCTATATGAAAAACAAAAGAATACTATCGATAACTACCAAGCTCTGATTGATGCCGGCAATGAATTCGCTACTTGGCTTCGTAATGCCAAAGAGCGCTTAAGCAAGTGCTCAGAACCCACAGGTGATAAGCAAGCTTTGGCCGAGAAAACTCATCAGCTAAAGATTTTGCAAGGCGAAGTTTCGGAGGGTTCTGAAAAGTTGAAAAATGCCTTGGAGCAGGGTGAGATTGCTTGCCGCAATGCAGAGCCAGAAGACCGTGAGATCATCGAAGAAGAAGTGGCACTATTGCAGGAAGAATTTGATGCCTATGTAGAAGCGCTTAACAAGGCTAAGGACTACTTGGAGGTAGGCATTGTCAAGTGGGCTGACTACCAGGATCAATACACTGAGGCGCTTGAATGGTTAACCAAGACCGAGGCTCTTGTTCAATCTTACAATAAATTGCAAGACAGTTTACTACAAAAGAAGGTGGTCTTGGAAGAATTCCAAGGTCATCTGCAGACACTTTTTGACTGGCAGAAAACCTTGGATCATTTGAACATGAAGGCGCAGGTTCTATTAGAGACCTGTTCCGATACCCGCATCAGCAACGCCATTATGCAATTGACAACCAAATATAATGCACTCCTTACCTTGGCGAAGGAGGTTATGCGTCGCCTGGAAATGCACTATCAGGAGCATCAGCAACATCACACGCTCTACGAAGAGTGCCAGTCGTGGATTGAGAACACGCGCGAGAAATTAACCGACTGTGAGGTGATACCAGGTACCCTCAATGAGGTGCAAATCAAATTGAACACAGTTAAGAACTTACGCCAGGGCTTTGAAACGGGTCAGAACAAGCTTCGCTATTTGCTTGAGCTTAAGGAAAAGGTGATCATGAATACCGAACAAAATGGCGCTGCCAAAATACAGGAGGACACTGAAGCTCTTAAACAAGACTTCGAAAAGCTATTGGTAGACCTTAATGATGTGCGCCAGAAGCTGGCCAACCGTTTGGCTCAACTGGAGGAAATATTCAAACAGTACAAGATATTGCTGGAGTGGTTGGAAGACGTGGAGCCCAGTGTTAAGGCCAACGCCGATTATTTGAATGACTTAAGTGAGAAACGTGCTGCGCTGGAAAAGTTCCGCGTTATACAACGTGATATCAATAGCCACAACGATATTGTAGAGAAAATCAACAAACGATTGCAAGAAGACAACAGTCTAGACAAGAATGATTTCCAGACGGGCTTGAACAAGTTCGAAGAACTTCAGGCGCAAGTAAATAAAATTATTGAGTCTCTGGAGAACCAGGTTAATAGTCATGAGAAATATAAGCAAGCTTATAATGAGCTACAGGACTGGCTGCGTCGCACACGCATTGAAGTCGAGCAATGCTCCGATTGTCACGGCGAAAAAGATCAAGTGGAGGATCGCCTTAACCGGCTAGGTGACATACAGGCTACCTCAATAGAGGGAAAGTCGTTGCTCGATGCCTGCGAAGAGCTTAGTCGAGCTGTCATTGCCAGCAGTGGCAGTGAGGGTCAGGATAATGTGGCGCAAGAGATCAAACATTTAACCAGCGAATGGGAGACACTACAAGCCATGTCACGTGATGCTCGCAGCAACCTGGAATCATGTCTGGCCGCTTGGCAAACGTTCCTTAAAAAATTCAATAAGATCAATTTGTGGATTAATACAATTAGCAAACGCGTGGCCAAATCTCAAGAAGCCGAGAACAAAACTACCGAAGATTTGGTCAATGCCAAGGTAAGAAACGCCAAACGTCTGTCTTCAACTGTCGCACGCACCGCTAATCAGAAATTACTAAAACCGCTAAGGCGCGCACCCAATAGTTCACCAATCCTTATATCCAATCGAAATTAAAAATTGATATACTCGTACACTCAAAAACTAATCTACTAACTAACGCTAATTATAACTGCTAGAAACTTTTGTAAAATTTTTCCAGAACCACCAGCACAATGCCACGCTAATCATACCACAAACACTTATTAACGCCTGAAATGCTTTATGTGCCTTTAATCACTCACAAAGGAGCAATCAATTAACTATTCTCTGTTTTCCCAACTAGAAACTCCTGGAAGAGGTGTTGGCTGAAAAGGACAATGTGGAGGACCTCAATGATAACTGCGAACTGCTCATGGAGAAGAGTGCCTGTTCACGTATACGCGACCAAACAATCGAGACACAGGCTAGCTATACAAAATTATTGACCGCCGCTCAGGGACTTGTCTCTAAAATTGAAAAGAATCTTTCCGATCACACCGAATTCCTTAATTACAAGAAGGAAATGGACGATTGGATAGAGAAAGCCCGTCAAGTTCTAGACGAGTGCAGCACGGATGGAGATGCGGCTACCATAGCACAGAAATTGGATACCGTTAATGTAAGTAGCGGTGTTAAAAATAAGGGTAAACATAAGAGTAGATGGGCAAGCAAGCTAGGATTAGGGATATTATGCACCCATGCTGCCAGACTAGGGCTTTGCCATAACGTATTTTGTCAAAGCTATCGGGACGAGGAGAGAGAGGAAACAGATTCACCTGTTTTGCGACTGCCCGTCCTTAATTAGAACCAAACACAAGGATTTTTGGGAGCTAACTTTCTACAGAATCTACGGCGTAATCCAAGAGGAAGGTAAGGGATATATCCGAATGCATCCAGGCTTCTGGAAGGATGTAAGATACGCGCATACAAGCAAAAACCATAGGTGGAGGCAAAGTTGAACAGTCCTTGTGGCAACACAACGGGCTAAAACCTATGGCTAAGTGAGCAAAGGATTTATGTACCCTGTACCCTAACCTAACCTAGATGGGCAGAAAGAGATGGGTCGTTTGTGAGCAATTTCAACGCAAAGAAGCTCCTTATTTCTATTTCAGTTATATATTTAATCTGTTCCGATTATTTTGCTCACTCCTCCTATCTGTGTTCTAAAAGATCCCATTTGTAGTCCAGCTAGGGGTTACGTCTTCGCTCGAGGACATCGAATTTGAATTTAAACAATAAATCTTACGTTTTACAGTCCCTTGCCTCTCGTTTGCCTGAGGGTCAGCACTTGCTCGGTATGGTGCAGGACGCGTACTCGAAGGCCTCAAATATTACCCCCGAAGATAAACAGGAGAAGCTCCGTGAGATCATGACCAAAGTGCGCGAGGATTGGGATGCCTTGGGTCTGGCTGTGAAACAAAAACTCAGCGACTTAAAGCAAGCTCAGAATCGCTGGTCCGACTTCGCCATAAACAAAGATAAATTGGAGAAATGGCTTGACGAGACAGAGAAAACCTTGCGCTCGCCGCCAGAGACTAAGGGCGAACTAAGCGAGATGAAAACATTGCTGGAGCGCTACAAGACGCTGGCCAATGAATTCAAGCAAAAGAGCAATGATTTGGAGCAACTCCAGTCGGAGGCTCGCGATTTGGGCACCGAAGTTGATGCTGTCCATCGTTTGCAATCGCGATGCGACAAGCTGAAGAACGACTGTGCTTCGCACATTAAGGCACTCGAACAGGAAATTGTTGACTACAACGCATATCATCAAAGTTTGCAGGATGTGGAGAAATGGTTGCTTCAAATCTCCTTCCAACTCATGGCGCACAATTCGCTCTTCATTTCAAACAGAGAGCAGACGCAGGAACAAATTAAACAGCACGAGGCGCTTTTGGGTGAAATACAAAAATACCAGACCAATTTGGACGATTTAAATGCCAAGGGTCAGGGCCAAATCAAACGTTATGAATCCACAACCCCGTCAATACGCCCAACAGTGGAGTCGCAGCTCAAGAACATACAGGACAGCTACAATTCTTTGTTGCAGACTTCGGTGCAAATTAAGAATCGCCTGTTGGAGTCCCTGGCCAAGTTCCAGGAGTACGAGGATACACTCGACAGCATTATGCGCAACCTTGAATCCTATGAGCCAATTATTCAGAACGAGCTTGATGCACCTGCCACCAGCTTGGAGATAGCACAAAATCAGCTTAAGTGTGCGCAGAATATGCAAAATAAATTGAACAATGAGAAGTCCAGACTGGCTGCTGCTGTGCAGGCCTGCGAAGCTGCCACTGCCTCGATTAGTCGGCCCAGTTCTCCACTTGAAACTGCAATGCAGGCCATACCCGAACGGGAACTGATTGTGCGCGCTAAGCTGGAAGATCTGCTGGATCAGGTAATTTATCAATAATTTATAAAATAATGCATGTTTATATTTTCCTGCGTTATTTCTTTTCAAAATCTAATAACTTAAAACATAATAAGTTTGTAATTATTTATATGCAGGGGCCGACTAATCTAAGAAAAAACTTATTCTATTACACAAAAAAGTCTCTAAGAAGCTTGTTTACCAATTCAGATAGAATAAATAGAATAAAGATATATATTCTATTCGAATGAGGAGAATAGAAATTTCATTTAAGTTTTCCATTTACCATTTAAATTTCTTGTATGCCTTTCTCTCTTTTAAAAGTGCTTTTGTTTTATGTCGGCAATATGGCGTTTATTTTGTGTTTCCAATAGAATTGGAGATCAATAAATCTACTTTAGTCGTTTTCCGTTTCGTTTCAAAAGATATTGTTCTGTGATAAAAAAAAGGAAAAGGATTTGACTTCATTTCTGATTTAGTCGTGCTTAAAACGATGCAATATTTCATATTATTATTAGGCGGCCCCGTATATAAGTAGAATAATCATATGTATGTTAACAAGTTCGATAAAGCAAGCTCAGTGCTGATAATTTGATTGGTTGTCCTGTGCTTTATCTTGCTTGCTTTATTCCTATGTATTTTGTAAAAAACCCTCCTAATATTTTTTGTTCTTTTATTTAATTTGTTTTTATTTAACCCCCACCCAACAAACACCGTTTTAACTTTTGTTGATTTGCCGCACGGCACGTAACTGTCCTAAAATGCACTGCCACGCCCACTTTAAACGCTTGCTATATAAAATGCTTTGCGCCTAAAAGCAACCGCCGAAAAAAACTCAGAGCTCAACAGATGGCGATGAAGTAGAAGAAGATGATGAGGTCGCTGTTGAGCTCAGCGATGTAAATGAAGCGCTCTTGGATCCAATAGCTCATGAACGTGTTAGCAACTATCGGCGTATTATACGCCTAAATAGTGCACATGTGAGCAAGCTGAATGCACTAGTTGCTAAGGTGAGTAAGCGCACAAACAATCTGAGCAGCAGCGAAGCGAAACATTAGTATTATTGCCATAACATTGCATACATGTTCATACCTGTAGTTAGTTTGCAAATTAAACCAAAGTATAACCTTACAAAGTGTTGCAAACAATGAATGTGACTAAATTAATTTACCTCCTTTAGGTGCAATCCCACTTGGGTGGTTTGACTGCATCCGTTAGCGAACTAGAGCAACAGCAGAAACAGCGCGGTGAACTGCAGGACTGGGTTAAGAAACAACAGAGCTCCGTGGCCGATTGGCTCATGCGTCCCAGCAAGCTGCGACCTGAGGCAGCACGGCAGGAGCTCGTCGCGATGAACGATTTGTTGAACACCATCGGGGACAAGCGGTCGCAGCTGATGCTCGAAATGACTGGATCATGTAAGTAGCCCTATATAGGAAAAAACCATTGTATTTTCAATTCAGGGTTCTTCAATTGGAGCACATTGCCTTGCATCATCTTTGTATTAATGAGACCTAGAAATATATCTCATGTCGCTTAAATAGGTCCTAATTTATGAAAAGTGTTTAAGCGTTGACTGATCATGTTCTTAGCAATTCTATCATAATGCACGTTGTCACTTGTTCGGTACCTATGTATGCATTATTTCTTGTGTGGGGTAGGACCCTTATATTGCCAATCGTCAAAAAAGAGATAAATTTATGTTTGGTAAAAAGGGTATATTAGGTTTGTGCAAAGTATGTAACATGCAGAAGGAAGCATCTCCGACCCCATAAAGTATATATTCTGAATCAGCATGACGAGACGAGTCGATCTACCCCTGTCTGTCTGTCTGTCTGTCGCAAGGATCTCTCTTTTTTTTAATTTCCCCCCCTTCCCCCGCTACAGAATTTCGCCAATAGCGTCCACATTTCAAATGCTACCTAAACCAAACTTTGCACACATAATTTATATAAAATTATCTGTGTTGTTTAAAATTTTATTTAATTCCGTCAATTCTAAGAAAAGTTATTAGCGAAACAAATTCTCGCCAGTATAACCCCCCCCCCCCCCCCCCCAAATTGCAGCAACAAGTTCGCTCTTCTTCTTCCTCTTTTTGCTGCTGCTTTGGGCGCATATAAGAAGTTTACCTGGGTGCAGGGTATTACACTGTCGGGCTTGCTCGACTGTAGCGTTCTCTCTTGTTAGATTTTATTTAGCTGTTCACAGCTCCTCCTTACAAAGTCTGCAATGTGCTCCCACTACTCGAACCCGGATTCAGATTTTATAACTAGGTGGATTGTTTACTTAATAGAAAACTATTTGATCATGCCTTTTTCAATTATCTGTTTTTTTTATACCCTGTACCCAAAGGGTACAAGGGTATATTAGTTTTGTGCGAGTGCACATGGAACACACAGAAGGAGGCTTGGTAGACCCCACAAAGTATATATATTCTTGATCAGCATGACAAGCCGAATCGATATAGCCATGTCCGTCTGTCCGTCTGTCTGTCCGTCTGTCTGTATGAACGCAAGGATCTCCGAAAGTATAAGAGCTAGAATAACCAAACATTTATATATATATATACAGATTCTCCTGAGCCCGAGAAAGGACGAGTTTGTTCATTTTTTCTGATCCACGCCCCCCTCCCCCACTATTCACGATTTTCTATAACTCCCATAATTCTTGGAATTTTAAACTAAAATTTGGTAGACATATCCAGTTAGTAATTATATATCCGTATACCAAGTTTCATTATGGTAGGTTGATCAGAAAAAAAGTTATAGCCATATAACCAGGCTCAATGCACACATACATACATATGTACAAGTACACAAACACGCATAAGGCACGATTCTGATGTAAATGTATGTATGCATGCATGGAATATTTTGTATTTAATTTAGTTAATTAATTAAATTAATTTAGTTAATTAATTAAATTAAATTAATTAATTAATTTTTTTTGTGGGGTGGTACAGGGTATTTGAGAGTTGAGCCTGCTCGACTTTAGCATTCCTTTCCTGGTTTTATCTATTAAGCCTCAAACTATGAGAGATATAGCATTAATTCTTCACATTTTGCTTAATTCTTTTGTTTCAATTCTCATGTACTTCATGTTATTTTATTTAAAGTTCAGTTTGTAAGTATATTACATAATTTGAAAAATTCCGATATTACATTTAATTGATTCAAATAGGCGCTGAATTATTACCATATAGTATTAATTTATTTATTGTATTTATTCTGTTATCTAAAATACATTCTCTGATAGCTTAGATAAATGTCTAGTATTTGATTTTAATAAAATAGACACTTATTATTTACAGTGGGCGATGAGGATACCAATTTGGATGATAATATTGACAAGCTGGAATCTGATCTTATGGATGCCATAGCCAAGAAGCAGGCCGGCCAAGGAATCATTGATGGCTACCGTCAGGGCATGCAGGATGTGCAAAATTGGTTCGATACCTTAATTAAACGTATGGACGTCCTGGATCGAGGCTCTGGTTTAAATTGTGCCCAAAAAATGGCGGCCATTAATGAAATTAAGAACGAATACGAGCTGCAGGGCCACCCCAAAGTACAAGAACTCAAGAGTAAGGCTGCACAGGTGGCCGAAGTCATTAGCAATTTGGATGGCCAACAGGTGGAAGAGCAATTGAAGTCGTTGGATCGGCGCTTTGCCGATTTAGGCAAACGTATTGATCGCAAGGCGCAGTTACTGGATGTGACCAATAAGGGTGTGGATGGCGCCAAGGGTGAAATCGAGCAATTGCAGAATTGGGTTAAGCAACAAATAGAGGAATTGCAGGCACCCGCCGCCCTGGGCTTTGCACCCAAAGATGCCGAGGCCCGCCAACAAAAGATTAAGAGCTTGATGAAGGATGCTGAGGCTAAGCAGTCGTTGGCGGATGTGTTGGAAAAGCGCATCGCGAACATGCAGCCAGAGCTGGAACCAGCTGAATACGCACAACTGGAAACTTCTTTGCGCAATTTGAACAGCGAGAATCGCAATTTGTCCGGTGTACTGAAGGCTGAGCTGGACCGTGCTCTGGATGCCACCAAAGCGCGTAAAGCTCTTGAGAATGATTTGGAGAAGGCACGCAATTGGCTAAAGACAAAAATATCAGAGGTGCGCAAACTGCCTGTATATCATCCATTGACCTCCACAGAAATTGAGAAAAAGATTGTGGAGAACAGAAAGTACGACGATGATGCTAAACAGTTCAACGACAGTGTACTGGGCGATGTCCAGCGACAGGCAGCAAACATCATGAAAGATTGTGGTGATGAGGATAAGACATCGCTCCAAAAGATTCTCGACGAACTGGCAGCCGACTATCAAACACTCAAAGATGAGACCGGCAAACGAGGAAAATCCTTGGATGACCTACTGCAGGGACGCAAGGCTTTCGAAGACTCCATGAAGAAAATGGGTGACTGGCTAAATGAAATGGAAACAGCCACCGAGGGAGAGCTGCGAACTACCAGCTTACCAGTGTTGGAAGAGCAATTGGCCCACTACAAGAAACTGCTGAAGAATGCGGATGACATGGGCGGTCTGATCAACGACGTCTCCGAGCAGGGCAAGAGCATATTGCCCACATTGAGTAATGCCGACAAACTGAAACTGAACGATGATATCAAGAACATGAAGGATCGCTATGGCCGAATCACTCACACTATAAACGATCGTGTCAACGTTTTGGGCGACCACATTAAGAAGTATAAGGATGCCAAGAGCAAACTGGCGGACTGTAGTCAATTTTTGAGCGGCATTCAGCAACGTCTGCGTGATTTGAACAAACCCATTGGTTCCCGAATTGAAGACGTCCAAGATCTGCTCGGCTCATACGAAGGTATACTAAAGGAGCTGAAGGACAGCAAGAGTCGCATGGGTGATATGCAAATGGATGATTTGCCTGAGCTGCAGAGCGTTCTGGCACAGCAGGATGACATGATCAAGTTAATTGAAGATCAGTTGGCTCACTTGCGACAATTGTTGTTGCTGCGCGAGCAATTCATTGCCCTGATTAACGAGATCATTGCCTTCATAATGAAATATACCGATGTCATAATTGACATTGAGAACTCACCCGATAGCCTAGAGGATAAAATCAATAAATACGATGATGTTATTGTCAAGATCCAGGAATGCGAAGGTTTGCTTGCTTCGGCCAACGATAAGGGCCAAAAGATCGCCTCAGAAGGCAACGCTGCCGATAAAAATAGCATTACCGAGCAATTGCAATCCCTGAAAAATCAATTGCAGAATCTGCGCAAGGCCGTCGAATCCCAGAGACAGAAGCATCAACTGCAACTCGAATCGCACAAGAAAATGGCAGCTGAACTTAGTGATATACTGGACTGGCTGCACAACAATGAAGGTGCCGCGAAATCGCGACCTTTGCTTGACCGGGATCCGGAGTCGGTAGAACACGAATTACAGAAACATCAGAGTCTGTGCCAGGAAATTAATTCCTATCTCGATAAGTTCAACAAAATTAACGACACCGTCAAAACGGAGCTCGGCATGCCCAGCTCACTTATCGAAATGCTCTCGGAGGGCCGTTCATTGGTCTCTTCCCTACCGCGTGAGCTCGAGGAACGCGAGAAATATTTGAAAAATAATCGCGACTCGCGTCTGGAGTACATGCAGCTGGTGGCCAAATTCAATGATTGGGTGCATGAGGCTGAGTTGCGCTTGCAGCACAGCCAGCATGGCATTGACTACGAGCACTTGGTATCCGATCTGGACGAACACAAGGTCTTCTTTGGAAATGAGGCTCCCATACGCAATCTGGTGCACAAGCAAATACAAGAGGCTGCCGATAAGATATGGTCTTCGTTAAACAACTACGAACAATCTGAGCTCTCCTCTGAATTGTCGCAGTTCCAAACCAAGTTGGCCACTACCCTGGATAAGGCCAAGACTCAGCAGAGCGAGCTGGAGCGGGAGGCCGAACGTTGGCGCGAATATCAACAGTCCATTGAGCGCGTGAAGGCCACCATCGAGCGCACCAAGTTCAGCGATGAGCCTGTCCAGAACTTGGCTGGATTGCACTTCAATATACAGAAGCTGACACACGCCATTGGCAATGTTCAGGTGAGTTACAATGTTTCGAAATTCAGAATATTGACTTTTTTACACAAACTAGGAACAAATAGTACACAAAATCGATATTTAGAATTTTTCGTTGGCTTTGATTTTTTAAATCCGAATTTATTTATTGACAGACATTTTCCTGTTATTTTTTAAAGGCCTATAAAAATTCAAACATGATTATTAGTACATCTTGTTTGTGTAGATTTTTTAAAGCAGTATTATGAGAGATATTGTCATAAAAAATCGTATTGATTTCGCAAAATGGTGGGCTATTGAGGAAGTTTTATTTTTAAAGTAGACCTAAATGTTCTAAAATATTTACATAAAAATACATATACATATATACACACATATACGTTCACTTTTAAGAAAGGTCAAAGTTTTTTTTACAAAATTCGTAGCAAATCTCCGATTTGAATTGAATAATTAGTGATAACTATTAAGACTATTAGTGTGATAGGAAATATGGTGTGGTTAGCCGGCCGGCCGGCAAGAGCAGCCTCTGCATCTAAAAATTCTCTCTCTTCTTGCTCTTACTTTGCGGTCTGCGCATTATCTTATTGTTTACTTTCTAGTGTGCCTTTTTAGAGCTTTTTACCTTGAAAACTTGCTAATACTATATTGACAGTCCATTAAACTTTTAACCTGCTCATGTCGAGCTTATCGGCTATAATGCGCTGGACCATTTCGATTATGAAATACTTATGTATTTTTTGTTAGTTATTTAAGGCACAGCTTGCCGCATACATGAGCATCATAAAGCGGTCGTAGTCTTTGTTGTTGTTGTTGCTATGACATCATCAACCGAATACTGAGCAAGTATCAACTATGGCTACTCAAATAGCAACAAACACATGTTCAGAAACATTTTCTCTTTATTTTTTTTTGTTGAATAAGCTTTAAGAGCAAGAACTGATAAGCTCGTTCTCTTTGCATTTGCGCAATCTATCTTTCAATGATGAGAACGAGCGAATAGACAGCTGTTTTTCTGCCATTGTTGTTGTTTATAGGGCACGCCGGTTTTTCAAAGTTAATTGATTTTATCGTTTCATATGAATTGAATGTAAATGTTATTCATATGCTAGGTTCTAGAATTTACATATGAGGCGATAATTTAGTATTGCTCTGTTGTCCAATACGTGACTATTAACACGCACCTCCCAAAGTGCCTCCCACACGGGAAACGGCTGAAATTTTTATAGAAGGCCGTCAAGTGGTGCCAAGTGCTTACAAAAACGTGCTTCTGCCGCAAACCGGCGTTTTTCGCAGCGCGTCGACTCTTTAAGCAGCTCGAAGCTCTTCGCCCTCTCTTTGCCGGTCGTTCGCATACTCTGAGTTCTAACTCGTGCTTTGTGGGGCCTGTTTCTGCGGTTTAAATTTGTGAAATTCATTTCGAGTTGAAACGTTTATCTGTGCGGTTGTGAGATATTTTATTTAACGCGTTTTTTTATTCGTGTATGTCTGTGTGTGTATAGATCAAACGGGCAAAAGCAAAAACAAAGAAAAAAGAATTGTTATTTATGTTTTTTGGTTAAATTTGAATTACTCGTTTGGTTCGAAACGCGCAAATTGAATAAAGCAAGCAGCATACAGCAACAAAGAGGAATAAAAAGCTAGACAGATATCGAATTGTATAAAGTTAACGTCATCAGCAAGAAGCAGAAAAATACAAAAACAACAACAATAGCAACAAACAGCCGTTGTATGCGCGACTTTAAATAAAGCGTACGAGTTCTAAAGAGAATTACAAAAGCAAAAAAAGTGTAGGTACATATGTATGTATAAGTATGTATGTACATATGTACATACATACATACATAAGTTAGCTACAATTAGCAAGTGCCTGAGATAGTTTTTTGTGAACTTTTCTGTAATAGAGTGTGATTGTGTGTGTGCAAAGTTAAGAAAACCAATAGCTGGTCATATTTTTGATGCACATCTTAGTAACTCATGCTTTTAAACTTCTCAACAAGCCATATGTCAAAGCTTTAAAATAAAGGGAAAATGTTTGTGTAACACGAACAGGGAAACTGTAAACACCTTTCACATATATATACACAGAAAATACTCAAAAAGCACAAAAGTAAAAAACAAAAACATATAAAAATAAATATTTTTTATACAAGACCCACCCATACGGGCGTCGCGAGTCCCTGCATCAATCGCGGAGACAAGACACGTGGCTCTCAGTATTCCTCCGCTCCGTTCTACCCCACTCCACTCCACTCATTGATTGAATATCATAATATTGTGTGTGTGTTCTTCGTGTGTTCCCTTGCAGAGTCAAACCAGTGACCTGACACTCGTGAATCAGCAGGCTCAGTCGCTGATACGCCAAGCGGACTCGCGTAACCGCCAGCTTATTGAGAAGGATAACGCCGATTTGAATCGCAGCTGGCAGGACCTTATTCGAAGCCTGGAGCAACGTCGCGACGGTCTGCAACAGTTGGCCGAGCATTGGGATAGCTTTGAGAACGGCCTGCACGGCTGGGAGAAGGCATTAGGTCGCTTAGAGGACAAGTTCCGAAATGTCGACCCAATTGTAAGATCCCGACGTCATTTGGAAGATACAAAGAATGCCATTCAGGTGAGTCCTTACAGTAAACACCAAGTTGAGGCGTCGAACGCTTTATCCTTATGAAATGCTAGTCACTGCTCAGTTCGAGTACGAGTCGTAAACCTGTAAAACCGGCTGACATATTTTTGACAACATACACCAAGGCTAGCAGCACATGCCAACACATATACGAGTATGTATATAGATACATACATATGCACATATGTGGTTAGTTTAATAGGCTTTCTTTAATTAATAGTATGCTTAATTGAGTCATAAAGCTTCGCTCACCATTCATTCATTCATGTTTTATGCCTTGCTTGCAACCAAATGCCCTTGGGGCTTGTTTTATGCAGCTTGGCAAAAATATTACTAATGTGCAGATACTATATACACTCTGCACAAACATATGTACATATATAAATATGTATTTTATATATGCATGTTGAAGGCATAGTCAAGTCATGTCCAAACAATGCGCTACCAAGTTCACGGTCACAGATTTGCCACGGCAGGCGTTTCCGAGAGCTTTGCGCTCTCTTAAGTTTTGATGTAAATTTTTATACCCTCTCTCTATCTGTTTCCCTCTCTCTCACTCTCTCTGTGCACATGAGTAGCGGCAGCAGCTCTGTTCAGTTCGTTGTTTGTTCAAAACGCAATCCAAAAACAAGATAGAACGCTACAGTCGAGCAAGCCCGACAGTAAAATAGCCTGTACTCTCCACAAAAAAAGAAAAATTAAAAAAAAAAATTTAAAAAAAAATTAAATTATTAAAAAAAATTAATGAATTAATTAATTAAATTAAATTAGAATATATGTTTATGTTTAGTTTTAACAGCATACATTTACATCACGTACCTATGCGTGTTTATATGCGTGTATGTATGCAGCACAAAGTTGAACCAAAGCAGCAACAACAACAACAGCTGCGGGCAGCGCTGCCGACAGAGGCAGCGCATGAGCAGCGATTTTACTTATGGCTATAACTTTCTTCAGAATTGACCTATCATGATGAAATTTGGCACACGGACACATTAGTACTAACTGGATGTACCTACCAAAATTTATTTCAAAATTCCGAGAATTACGGAAGTGTTAAGAAAAAACACGAATTGCGGGGGAGTGGGGGGGTGCATCGAAAAAAAACTCAAACTCGTACTTTCTCGGCCTTAGGAGAATATGGAAACCAAGTTTGGTTATTCTAGCTCTTATACTTTCTGAGATCCTTGCGTTCATACGGACAGACGGACAGACGGACAGACGGACAGACGGACAGACGGACGGACGGACAAGGCTATATCGACTCGGCTTCTCATCCTGATCAAGAATATATATACTTTGTGGGGTCTGCCACGCCTCCTTCTGTGTGTTACATACATGCGCACAAAACTAGTATAGCCTTTCACCCTTTGGGTACAGGCTATAATAAGACTTTATTGTCTCTACATAACATACTACATAGAATGAAAATAAAAGTCTAACTTTCAGTTTCCTGCTATGTTTGTGTTTTAAGCTATTCTGCGTATTCTGCCATTAATCTGTATAAATATTGGATGTGTCTGTGCCCATTAATCAGCTTTTAGCAATTTGAATAGCAGCCGGTTTATAATTTTCGTTTACACATGTACAATATTCAAATAAAAAGTGTTTATGTAATTTTTTAGTCGCCTGATTATACAAACACTCAGTTAAGCAATCGCTGCCAAGCCTCAAAGCTGTTCACAACTACATACATACATATGTACATATTTGTTTATGCAGTTTATTATTATTATTATTATTTTGTTGTGCACATTTTGCTTTTACATATTTTTATCAAGAAAAGTTGTTTTTGTTTTTTAAAATGAGCTCATTGCAGCTGATAATTGAGCGTCATTTCAATTACAATCAAATGTCTAAAAATAGTTTATTTAATGTTGAGAGAGAACTGGCATCGAAAACACACACATCGGGGGAGGACTAGTTGTCTGAATTCTATTATAGATGTGAATCGCTCAGCTTTAATTCCTAGGGTTGTACAAATTATATTAAAATGAAATAAAATGCATAAAGCATCAGCTCTATATAGTATGTATGTAATAGTCATTCCTATGAAAAAGCATAATTTAAAATATATTTATGCGAGTCGTATATAGCCAGCTATTAATAATTTAATGTAAATAATTCTATATAATGAACTGTACCCACATTTGATAATCATTTTTAAAGATTTTAAAATCGAATATAACTATAAAACATAGAAATACCTAATCTATCAAATGAACAGGTTGTCAATACAATCCAAAAATTATTTAGCGTTATTTTTTAACAACAAATCGGAAATTGTAAACAATTCAATTTAAATATATACATACTCGTATTTTCTACTTTAATACAGGAACCAAATAATGAAAAGGGGAACATTTTTAATACTATACTGTATGAACTTGATCCTGGATGAAATTGAAATTTTGCCTATACCATTTGTTACCAAAGGTTTTAGTTATGACAGTCCTTCTGAAGAAGCATAACAAAAAATCGAAGAAATCTAATATTATATCAAAAATTAGCATTTAATTTCTGGATTGCGATCAAAGTAACGAATTGCAAAGTCCGTCTTTGCGATATTTAAAATATAAATTCAATTGTTTAGCTCGATGGAAGGGAATTTGTTCAATATTTTAATGTAGATCTAAAATAATAAATGGCAATTAGCTCTAGGGAGCGGAATTTGTTCAATATTTAATTATATAACTGAAATAACAAATGGCAAAATAAAGTGAAAAGCAAAGAATTGTGTTAAGGTAGTATTATCAACAGCAAATAATCCCCATATCCGATATACTACTTATTTCTATTCAAAAGTATTTATTTGCTGCTAATAAATGTGTAATAACTGTTGCTCTTGCAAATGATATTTAAACCCTGGGCAGTACATATCCTTTATTTGTAAATGGTATTACCAGAAACTTCCATTCTTGGCACTTTAGTACCATGTTTTGGAATGGACTCTTTTTTTCCTACTTATAATCATTATTAATCACAGCAAATTCCTTTAAATTTTGCTCCACCTATGCATGTGTATAGCTTCTATTTGTAGCTTAAAAATATAGAAAACCAGTACCATAAATTCAAGAGCATCTTTAATTAGCTATATAGCATTCAATTGTAGTCAGCATACCTCAACTTAGCAATGAATTAGTTACTCGCTATAAAGCCTGTAATCGAAGCAATTTCTGGCTCCTTAAATGTCTTTACGCGATTTGTCCATATCTATCAACGATGTTGTCACACATGTTTCCATATAAAGAGAGAAAACAAAACAAAGACTGAATAAACTGAAAAATAGGCAAAAACCAACATTAAACAAAACTAGAATAAATACAATAACGACAAAAACAATGTTAAAAAAAGGTTTAATAGTTTTTTTTTTGTTTTTTTTTGAATGTAGCTATATATTATTGGTGGTGTCTTTGTTTTTTTGCTTCGTCTATTTCATTTTTGCTATTCTGCCTCTGCTCAATGCTCTTAGCAAGTAAAGTCAATGATTTTTTTTTTTTTTGAAATTTTTTGTTGACCTTCGTTGGAACTGGAATTAGATTGAAAAGAGATAAATATTTATGTATTATTTAACTGCGCTCGTTTTAAAATAATTTCAATTGATTTAAAGCGTATTTTGCAAAATGTATTTTTAAACTAAAATTAGGCAATTACTACATAGACTTGTTTTTTGTATTACTATAGGAATTACGTGAAGAATCAAATCAACTTAAATCATCACATAAAGAAATCGAGGCGCTCTCTAAATCCATCCTCACATTCCTTGGGGAAGTACACAAACCCTCGGCGGAGGCCATACAGGCCAAAGTGGATAAGTTAGTGGAACAGCAAACCAGGTAAGTGACGCCCCTCCCCCCCTCCATCACATACACCCACAAAAGGGGTATTAACCATTCAATGTGTTCAATTGTGCGTGTCGCGGTTCAATACTATTTAGTTATATGTGCACTATTTATTTAAGTGCGCAGCTGCTGACTTTTTTGCAAATTATCAAAGAGTATTGAAAAAACTGTTTACGCCGGAAATTGATGCGTACATCGCCCCGCAAAAACTGCCGGGTCGGGGCTAGAGTTTTTAGAGTTGAGTTTTTGTTTAATGAAAATGTGTGAATATGTGTGCCCATCTAACTGGTTCGCTAGAGTGGATCCATCTGTCCAGCAATTAAACTCGTTTTGCGGTTAAATATACTTTCGGCTTTTCGTGTGTATTTGCTGCATTTTGTGATGTCACGGCTGTTAACTAGCTGTTGTTGTTTGGCCCGCAAGCTCAACATAATTCCTCGGTGTGTACATAGTAGACCCCCGTGCCATTGTCTGGGCAACAAGCTCGCAGACTGACGTCAGACCAACTGTTACGCTTCGTTCGTGACTTACATAACTTGAGTTTGAAGTGTAGACAAACTGCTGTAAGCCTTCAGTTCGTATACACATACATATATTTTTAATTTGAAAAGCCAAACACAGAGAACGCTTTCTAGCCACAGCAACGGAGCATTAAGCCACATGTCTGTTTCCAAGAAAGTTATATTTAGAACAACATATAAGTAAAATGTTACATTTATGTCTGTTACTTAATAGTCACGTTGTTTATACTCTGTTTATACCTTGCACAAAGGGGCCAAATGGCTTGACAGGCAGCTTCACAAGAACTCATGTTAAACAGAGCGTATCTAGAGTCGGATAGTTAGTTGGTTATTTAGAAAATTATTTTCACTTCTTAAAACAAGAAAAAAAATTCTTTAAACTCCAGATTTCTTGCTGATTTATTTGGAATATATTTCTCAAAGCAAATGTTTGTAATTCGTATATAATCGTATATTTAGTATAGATTAAGGAATAGAGTAGGAAAACAGAATTAAATAAATGCCTATACATTTTTTGTTTAGGGTTATATCTAAAACATCACATTCAAAAATCGTATTAGCAATCTTTTCTAATACCACTAGTATTTGACTATAATTATGATTATTTTAGTATTATATTTCTAGCTATAGGTTAGTTGATTGCTGGTAAAGGGGCCTTGCTTCCTCACTTGTAATATTTCGATAAGATGGTTAACACCTGTGTTGACAGCACCTGTTGTTAATCACTAGATCTGAGGTTTGAGCTGAACTCATGCATAGGCAGTCGGCTCTCCCTTAATGCAAATATGTCTGGTAGATGAGTGGACTTTAGAGGAATATACCTTTTTTCTCCAGTTCTGAACTCTAATTGTTTGAAAATGAACATTTATCGAGCGATCATAGGAGATAGGTGGGAAATGAAGCATATAGAGCATACCGTAGTCTGGTACGCTAATTACCGATAAGTTGCGTTCTATCTTTTTTCTCTAACTGTGCCCCAGTAATGCCCGCTGTCTTATCAGCTGTGTTTCCAACACACTTGAGATAATAATAATAATAGAAAGACATATAAATTTGTCATTGCTTGGCCATATGTACAACCATTCTTACAAACATACCTACATACTACATATTTACGACATTAGCTTTTAACTAATTGATAACAAGAAAGACGCGCGGCGCTTGCCGCAAATCAAAGACAATTCTTCCCTCTGATGTCGCGGAAATTCTTTCCGCTGGCGCTTGCCATCTGAAAGTTAATTATTTGGCAATTGTATTTAAATGTGATTACATTTTAATTAAAATTAGCAAACATCACGTGCAGCTAGATCTGAATTTGTTTTGCATTGTATAACAAGTTCTCGCGCATCATGTTGCTAGCAACAAGGCTGCGGTTGCTAGCAACATACTGCGCTGCTGGCTGAATTCACCACGCCGGTTGGCTGGCACGCTTTCGTAAACAGAAATAGGTTTACAAGAGAAATTATATTTTTGAATTTTCTGTTAAAACAATACAGGCCGCGTTGACTCGTCGTCATCATCACGGCATTAATGCAACACTGACACAATTTCCCTAAAGTCGTGTGTTTTATTTTCTGCTGCGTTGTTGTCAATTTGAGTTTTATTTTTATACACATCTGTTGTTGTTTCTTCGGCGCTTTTCTCGCTGACATGCCGCTTGGTCTTTTCGCTGTCCGTGCTTGTCCCGAAGCGAAGGCAGCAGCTGTTAAACAAATATCTTTTGTGGCCTGTAAAAGGCCTACACATATGTGAGAATGTGTTGACTGCTTGGCATTTCGATCTCATTTCAACTTTCAACTCTTGCCTGTTTTTTTTAGTTTTATTTACTGCTCATTAATGTGCTACATTGTTTTCGAAGTTACGGTGGCCATGCCAACATCAACAACAACAAAATTACGATGCCATCATAGATCCGTTGAACATTTCACAAAGATGACCTAATATTTCATTATTTGTCATCGCCAATTATACACGTTATGGGCGTATAGTATATATCCTTTAGTTGCGACGCAAATTCCTATGCATTTACACTTGAGATTTTTTGGTTTTAGTGTTTTTCTTTTTTTGTATTTCATGAAGCACACATGCAAAAAGGTAATCAATATTTGTTTTTAAAATCGCATTAAGCTTGTGTAAGCCTTTTTTGTGTGTTGTCGGCTTAAGATAACGCTGATGCTGATTATTAAGGACCCGCCCCAACTCGGGTACAATTTGAGTCAAAATATGAATATGAGAAACCCTTAAACGTTTTAGAAATAATCAGTTGAAAAGAGGCTTGAATTTCATAGTGTTATATATTTTGTACTATACCTATATTTTTTGATTCATTATAAAACTTCAATATTTTTAGTATCTCAATCAAATCTTCATCAATTGTTTCAATACACGTACTATACGAGGGTCTGCATACATTTTCAGCTTCCGTTCTTCTCGTTTGACCAAAACTTTGAGGCAATACCTAAAAATGTGGCACAGAAACCAAAATCAAAAGTAAATACTCTGAGTAAACACATTTGCCAGTCATAAATTTAGCAAGCAAACGGCAAAATATCCAACAAACGAAACATAAACAAAAACCGAGAAGCCGACCAATAATAAAAAGTAAATGAAATGCTTGCCGTCAATTAAAACAAAAAGCGCTCTGCTGCTGACTTCATCGGCAATTGAGTACGAAGCGTAACAATATGTTTATAAATAATTCAAGTTTGCGAAAATACCTCACTATAATATAGCGATTAGCAAAGCATGGAGATATGCATTTAGTTTCAAACTGAATGAAAAGCTGAGTAGACTATCAACGGGGCTTGTGTTTGGGCTCTTAAGAATGTGCCAAGATATGAAAAAACGTACATCTGAGAGATTGTACAATCAAGCAGAATGCTTATCACTAGTTACCCCACCCATTTATATTAAGTGATCGAAATAAAATGACAAGGTCACCGTGTAAGTAGTTCCGGAATTACTAGAAAAAATGCTTTTGAATTGTGGTCTTGGGCCTACACTTATTATTTTACTAATTATTTAAAAAGTTAAAGTATTTTGTCCGAAATTCTGAATATATTTATTTTATGTAAACAAGTTTAAAAGCAATTGTTTGCTTCATGTAGCTGTAACTAGTTCCCTTCGGCTTCCTTTCTTTCAAAAGTGCATCAGTATAATGAATATTTTTGGGATTTGAACAGAACTGTAAACGAGGCGAGTCTATATTGTAATTAACATTTTGTTTTTACGTTACTGACTCGTCAAATTAATTTTGGTAGCTTGCTCTGTTAGGAAGCTTAAGGCATCTGTGTACACACATCAACCAGTCCATTTGCATTGACAATTTGTCAATGCGAAAAAAAGAATCAACAATAAAAATGCGCCAAAACAGAGGCAAAAAGTTGTTGCCCAAATGAGGTAATCGCGTAATTATAAATTGATTTTGCCATGGCTCTGGCGTCCGCACTGTTATAACGTGTAGCCCATTAACAGTGCGGACAACAAACTTAACAGAGCGCCAACGTCGCTCTGTTTCATTGCCATTTTGTTTCTGTTGTTCTCTTTCTGTACGTATAGTATGTAGAGACTAGGTAGCCGGCTTTCTGCAGGCGCTTATCTAAACCGGCAAAATAATTTTCTTTATCACAAAAAAGAGTATATGTGCAACTTATACTTATTTATTTGATATGAATTTACAATTTGGAAGTATTGCATTTTTGCGAGTTGACGTCGGCAGATTAAATAACATTTTCTTGCTAATGAGCAAAACAAAGCTTTTCTGCCTAATGCTTGGCTCTTTTTCAATGCCAAAGCACATACCACAATACATACTATGTATGTATATGTATGTATAATTTATTTGTATTTCTCGCCTTTCTTTTTTTTTCGCGAATGTTGTGCCAACTACTCATCTGTTTTCTGTGTATGAGTGTGTATGCGTGTGTAGTGTGGTGGTGAATTGTGGTAGCAGTTTGCGTTCTTTAATTTCCGTCTCACGAACACTGTTAACGATCGCCTGAACGAAAATCCGATGACAACAGCAGCAGCAACATTGACTGTTAGTCGAACATTTTGTCAATTTTGCGTGCGAAGAACATTTAGTTTTTATTTAGAGTTAGTAGCAAGCGGACGTGTTTCTCTACAACTGGATGGCTGGAGACTATTTTGAGCAAAACGAACGAAGCAGAGAAACAAAACATATATTTACACAGCAGCGACGACCGCAGATATATTTTCTAAAGCGTTTTATATGTATCTTCGATACACATATAAAAATAAACGCATATTTTTAAAATTAATTAATTAAGCCAGAGAAGCAGAAAAAATACAAAATAGAACACGTCCAAGACGAGACCACAACCGAGAGAAGTATTTAATAACGTTTTAATGAGCTCTACAGTGGCTCCCTAAAACCGACAGAAATTGTTTAACTCTTTCTTCTACTTTCATGCGTTCCGTTCGCTCGTTATTGTTGTGTGTGCAGTTAAACGCCGCTTTGTGGATTACCAGGCGTATACGCAATAATCAAACAGAGTAGCAAAGCAGCGAGAAATAGAGCGAGAGGCGTTGCAGCTTTTACTCATTTCCAGCAAGAATTTCATTTAAATTCAAAAACTGTGAAAATAAGTAAAGTGTTGACCTCAAAGAATTTGTTGTGCACACGGCTGCCTCCGCCCTGTAGGAGGAGGTGGGTCTGTTGTCGCAGGCAAGACCAACAACAAAAAGTACATCACAAGCAGCAGCAGCAGTTTGGAAAAGCAACCAGAGCAACAGAAAGACGTTGAACAATTAAAAATTTATTTTTGATTGCTAACACGCACATTTAATCTAGTCGTCGTCAAAAGCAAGAGGTGTGTTTGTGTTCATAAAGAGACAATTTTTCGTTTAAGCAAAGACTCTACTGAGTCGCATGATTAAGTCATCGCCCAGCAGTTAGCACTCGATAATAAAAAACTTCGACTTTGCCATTGCTCCGTGCTCGCGTCGCTGCCGTCTCGTCTCGGCTCGTTTTGTTTCACCTCGTCTTGCCCGGCCTCTTCAGGCCAAGCCGGTAAATAAGAAAAAAACAAAACCGCGCATGCAAATCGAGGCAAAAAACGCTTCGGTGCGAGGTCGTGAGGTGCTTAAGCATTCGCCTGCCGATTCCGCCAGTCGACGCGTGTCTACTTTAAACGATGACGTAGTCGCCATCGACAATTGCTATGTTTTGTCGCAACTAAAATAGTCAGCCTACTTATCAGTTGCTTGTCGCATTGTTTGATGACATATGCATGTGGCGCTGATTTGCCCCAATTTGCAAATAATTGATCAAACTGCCCGGTTTTTGTTTTTGTTTCTGTTTGTTTTTTGTTCTTTTCATTAGACGCAGTCTCAATTTCGTTCCCAATGCCCTCCCAATAATTTTCTCCTTTCACTTTCACTTACACACTCGTTTTTCTGCTTGTTGCTCGCATTTCTCAAATATTTGGTCACTTTTGTACGTCATTTTAAATGAAAGCTAAGCACTAAATTCAAATGTTAATTTGTACAAATCGCAGCAGGCAAATCGTAACTAAATATAGAATATATATATGTATGCATATATATTTTTATATATTTTAAAAATTTTAATGTGTGCCAAAGCCAAAGGCGGCAGCACAATAACAATAACAAAACAAATCTAACATTCATGATGAAAATTTTTGGCAACGCGCGCGTGTAAAAAATGACGCCGAAATTATTTGAACCATTTTCTATGCAGTACACTGGGAGAAAAATGAGCTGTGCACTGTTTTCTTTTTTAACGGTTTAATTAAAACATAAAGAAAAGTTAAGAGTCCAAAGCTCCCATACCCGATAAAATTATGCCTAATTATAGGAATACAAAAGAACATGACGATTTTTAGTCGCAAACCATTAACTAGAACACATTCACTTAGTCGATCATTTAGTATATCCTTTATCTTATCTAAAGCGGTCTATTGCTGACATTTTTCGTAGTGTGCATTACCAGTTTGACGCGCATTTCCGTTGATTTTAGTTCAATTAATTTGGCTTTCGGCCAATTGTGTGGCCTGCCTCTGCCATTGCCGGCAACTATATAAGCCTCAACTACTTGAAATTACCGCCTGGTGCCTTGGTTTCAATGTTTACGGGGTAGACTAGTCGCTGTAAAAGGGCAATAAACGTCCAGACTACGTCCTTCAAAGGCGACGACTGTCTATGAATAAAAGCCAGCCCAGTTGCCATAAGAAATTATGTGCGGCATTGACAAGCATTCAACCATGGGTGGGTGGGCAAAGCAACGCTACTTATAATAAAAACATACAAAAAAAAAAACAAACGAACGAACGCGGACGAGAATTGTGCAGCTTCTATACTATTTTTAATTGTTTCTCAAGTGCGGCGCACTCATAACACTTGTTGCCTTTTGTTTTTGGGCTTCCAGCACTTAATTAGAGGTCGAGTTCCAGGAAAAATCCCAACGGCGGAAATCATTGTGCGATAAAAGTAAACAGCAAAGCACGGCATAATTAGGGGGGGCCCGCGCACACTCTGAATCATGCTCCTCACGATTTGGTTGCAATGAGGCCAGTCTATGACGTCAGTTTGTCGTCTGCATAGCCATAAATATAATCAAATTTTTTCTCATTTTATAAATATAATTTCGTGGGTAAAAATAAACGTAGCCAGCCCGCCCGCATAGAAATAAAAGAATAATAAGTCTAACATAAAAGACGCATGGATTTTAAAACAACAAAATTGTTACCTTTACAAAAAAATAATGCGTCTAAATCAAAAATTCTCAATTTTCGAAATCATATTCGAAATTATTGCTCTCACCCTGTCACTGTCGTTGTAGTTAGTTGACGTCTCAAGGCTTTTGAAGGCTTTTTTTTCGAACTTATTGTACATCCAAATAATGAGCAATAAGCAAGAGCAGCAACTGGCTCGAAAATTCGAAAATCTGCCTATGAGCTGCTTCGAGAATTTTTCACAATTTCATTTAGAAAACTCTCTTGTAGCGAAACGGCAGCATTCGTATTCACGGAAATCTTAGCAACGTGCTCGAGGCCACACACCCAGCAACGCCCCAACGGCTATATACAATACATATACATATAGGCAGCAAGAAGAAATATTGAAACTTCAGCGCACTGCGTTGCTTTTGTGATTTTCAAATATCGTTTTTGTTCAAAAATATACGTGTATACGCAGCAGCTATAAAGAAACTTTTCTCGTGCAGCCGCGCGTATCTACATTCTATTTCAAAGCGTACAAGAGCCATTTATGCCGTCATCAGCATCAACCGCGTGGTTCTTGAAAAAAAAAAAAAAAACACGCGCACACACTTTGGATAATATATACAGCCAAATAATATATTTTATAATATTTCCAGATCATAAGCTAACTCGCTCTTTTTCTTACAGATTAAACGACACATTACGCGATAAGGATCAACAAGTTAGCAAGGATCTCGAGGAGATCGAGCAAGTCTTCCGTCGCATCTCGGAGCTGCAGGACAAACTCAACGCCCTACACGAGCAAGTGCAAGGCATTCACGTCTACGACGAGCACATTGCCAAGACCGAACAAGCGCTCATCACTCTACACAGTCAGGTGCAGCAGACGGCCGAGGAGAGCCGGTCTCTCATTGCGCAAACCCAGGCGCACTACCAACAGAAACAGAACCTAGTACCCAGTGATATAGCGCAGGAGTTTACGGCACTTGAGCTATTAGTGGAGCGCGTACAAGTGGCCATGGAGACAAAAGAGAAGGATTTCAAGCGCGCCAAGACCGTTCGCACCGAATATGTGGCCGGTGTGGACGAGATACAGCGCTGGCTGTTACAGGCCGAGGTGCAGGTGCAGGATCGCACTCTGGCGCCCACACAGATGAAGGAGCTGTTGCAGCGCATTAACCATGAAATAACCGGCATTTACGAACGCTTCACCCTAGTCAAGACCAACGGACAGCTGATCATTGAGAACTGTCGCAACAGTGAGGAGAAGACACTGGTGCAGACGACCATTGATCAGTTGGCCGCTCAGTTGGGTCAAGTACGTGCCTGGCTGGACGAGAAGAAGCAGGCAGTGGGCGACAGCCTCGATGCCTGGACACGCTTCATGAATCTGTATCAAATTGTCATGTCTTGGGTGGCTGAGAAGCGAACGTTTATCGATCAAACGATTGAACTGCGCACCCTGCCCGAGGCACGCAATAAACTAAACGACTATGTGGCGGCTGTGAAGAGCATTAAGCCAATTGTGAAGCATTTGAGCGAAATGGACAAAGAACTGGAACATATTGGACAAGTGACAACCGTAGGCGATCTGAAGGACAAACTCCAAGAGGCCGAGGATGCAAAGATTTCTGTGGAAGCGGTGCTGCTGGAGAGGGTAATGCAACTAGCCAGCGAAAAAACTAAAACAATCTACAACAGATATCTAAAAAATGATGTGGCACTTGTATGTATTTTCAGAACTCGCTGCTACAGGAGGCTTGCGAAGAGTGGGACCAATGTGAGCGCAAAATCAAGGATATACGCGTATGGCATGAAAAGACCAAGCAAACGCTCGAGTCCCCACAACAAAAGAAGAAACCGCTGCGAGACCAGCTAGGCTATTGCGAGAAAACGCTGGCCGATATTAATGTGCAAAAAACCAAACTGAGACTGTCCATTGAAAAACTGGAGGTGAGTGTGTTGCATTGTATAGCTAACTGGGTGCGCATTACCACCACATGCCCGATCACCTTTCGCCCGTTCTCTCTCTTTCCCGCTCGCTTTCTCCCATCTAGGTACATTTCCGCAATGGCATGGGCGGTGATCCACGTCTGAGCGAAAATGTTGATGATTTGGTGCGATTGCTTGATGGTCTGAGTGAGGTGGTTCGAACCAAATCACAAGATCTTGAGCAAACACTCGCCCAAATCGATGTATATCAACAGCAAATGCAAGCGTTGCGCCAACGCATAATACAGGAGGAGCAACAATTACGTCTGGTTATGGCGCCTACGTACTTACCGCACGATCGTGAGCGCGCATTAGCCGAGCAACAGGTACGTACTACTCTTTGTCTGCCAGAGTAAGCTAGAAATTGTTCAGGGGTTAGCTAGGACAACCCAAACTCAAATCCAAAAACCATCTATTTTTGTGTGAAGATCAGGATCAGCTGACAGCTGTAGTGTAAGCTAGGATCTCCAGTATCCCCTCAGACAGTAAAAACTTATTTCTCATTACATCCCAAACGATTGTCATGCTACGCAAAACTTTTATTCTATAAACTGTTGACAGAACAACATGAGTTTCTATTTCAAATAGACAAACGTTATTAACCTTTCAGTAACCTAGTCCACATATAATTTATATTAATATTAAATTATTTTAAAATCCTTTGTCAAGGCGCTAAAATGTGCGGGTAGGTCGTATCTTTCAGAACAATAAGTTGCACGGTGGCTGCGTATTTATTTCAATTACAATTAGCTTTAAATAAATTTTTGTGTTAGCGCGCAAGTTTTAATTTTTTTTTTTTATTTGTTGGCAATTGTTTGCTCAACAAATTATCATTTCTTTTTTTGTACAATTTATTTTGCGGCATATAATTTTCTTTGGTTTGTTCAAAATTTTGTATTACGTTCTAATTTGAATTTTTTATTCGCCATCAATTTCATGAACACACAAACACACACACAATCATGTACTACAATGCAAACACATACAAACATACACATCATTGTGCTTCCTTATTTTTTCTAAGTCATGTCATACCAACCGTGCAGCTCTCATCAAATCATACATACATATAAGATACGTATGTATAATATATGTACTTCTCTCGATCTCTCATTTGTCTAAAGCCCAACAATTGTATGCCACAATTGTATGTCTATGAAAGAAAAAGTCTCATTGTCACGTGCGGCCCGAAATATTCGAAGAAAACAAATAAGTTCTTGTTGCCAGGGTCTACTAGCGGTCTATGACCAACAATGATTGCCAGACTACTACTTCCAGTACAGATTTTGCTCTTAATGATTATTTGAAAAGTTTTTACAATATACAAGTATAGCTTAACAGTTTCGGTAGAGAGTTTATTTAAAATAAAAATGTTATAATATTTACATTGCGAATTGCAATGTTGGCGGTAAGTCAGTCGTATATAAGTATTGTTAAAAATTGATCGGTCTCTTAATATAGTATATGCGTTTAAAATCGGGCAAAAGAACTTATTTTTTCTTTTCGCAATCGTCGCACAAATCCTAATTCACCACCACATCAGCCACCACCCGCCCACCAATTACATACAACTATTCGAACACTACATGCTAGTGCAGTATTGGCACCGATCGAACAAATTATTAAAGTTTTATCATCATTATTCACCAGAACCATGCCACTCTCTCACAGTTATACAATCATACTACATAATTGCTTTTGCGTAGAGATTTTGTTTATGATTTTGGCGCTTTGAAACAATATGAAAAACTTTTATTTTTTGGAAAATACGAAATATTTTAGTTAGCTATAAAGCGAGGCTAGCATTTTTTCACACATTCGCGTCGCACCGCCGCTCGTCTCTCTCTCTCTCTCTCTCAAATATCTCTCTCAGTTATACGCATTTTTATCTTTTAATTATGGTTACGGTTTTCATTTGATTTGGTATTTTATTTTTGACAATTGTATTTCTTTTTCCTCTCTTCTACGTAAATTTATTGACATATTTGATAAAAAAAACTGGTGTCGTTGCGCTGAAAAAAAAAAATTACAAATTTTAAAAACACTACATATACAATTATAATTGTTTCTACTAATAAAAACATTTAACTGGTTTTGGGCTTTGCTCGCTTGCCTCTTGTGCTACTAAAACATGTAACTAACAAACATACTGCAAAACTGAATAAAACAATATATCCTGATATATTTAAACGCGTCGCCTGCCTTGCATTTAAACCGCTTTCACCCTTCGCCCCCAATGTAACGCTTCAAATAATTTTCATAAACTACCATTTGCTGCCATATACTACTACACGCACATGAATGGGTATCTTCTACGAAAATTACAAAAACTTCCACCGGTATTTGGTTGCTTATGCTCTCTATATTGTTTACCATTTACCAAACATATATAAATACATATGCTGATATTTTGTATTTCTCCTCTATGCTCACGTCGTCAATTTTTCTTGTAAATGAAACATTTTCTTAAAACAAATGCATCTTGGGCATATGAAAAAAATCCAATACTCTCTATACTCTACCATTAGGCATGTCGCGAACGTGTCAAAAACTTGCATTCGAAAATAACTGCACGTAATGAGCGCATCAAATTGTTAATACATCGCGGCACGCCGGACGATGCCTTACTCGTACTAGATATGTAGTCCCAGCAAATAGTAATTAATGAAAATACAATATAACACGAGTACCAAAGAATTGTTGTCTAGGCCAAGAAACCATACACCAAAGAAAATTAAAACCAAAGAACGCTAAAGAGCAGCCACCGCGACGCGCTGCCCGCCACGATGTTAGCTCCCATTGCATCGAGCGGCAGCGCACGCTAACTCGTAATAGGCTTCCAATACTATACATATATAATATACCAAACAAAACAAACCTAGAAAACATGACCCATGTTTAAGCAAAATATCGAATAAATTATATTAAATTATATTTATAAAATGAACACCAAAAATCAGGTCTATTTATTTACTGAAGGTTGACCCCAAAAACATAAAACTTGTGTACCTTATAAAAGTTATAACTTAGGTAGAAGAGTCAGTTTTGAATTAGCCAGTTTATTGCTACCCTAACCCCCTACACCCAACAATTTGCAAACAAATCAAACCTAACGTTTTTGGCAAATTTTCCCCCATCTCTCTCTCTATCTATCTCGATCTACCCGGATACTACTGTACAAACAACCTATAGGCATTGCGACAATCAATCGATGGCATGCAGCAAGTTTACGATGCTACCGCTGTGCAATCCTATGCGCTGGATCCACATTCAGTGGTAACCACTTCATCGACTGTTTCGTTGCTTTTGAAGCCAACGGCAGTGGGTCTAACCTATGCTGAAGTGTTATCAGGACATGCAAGTCCGGTAAGCAATGAAACGGTGGCGCCCAGACATGAAAAACGAGACACGACCACCACAACAACGACTAAGCAGCAGAAACAAACGAACGCAAACAACCAGACAATCTCAACTACAACAACGACAACGACAATTTACAAGCGTGGCGCACCTCACGATACGGATGCAGTGAGTTTGGATCAATGCGAGCTACCCGCGAGCATACCCACGGCTGTTTTTGAACGCAGCGACCAATACCAGGAGGAGGTTACACCATCCAGCACCCCAAGATATGACGAAGCAACTGCAGAAGCTGCTCCCCCAGTTATTAGCACAAGTCAAACAGAGCACGTCAGCGTTGATCCGTCAAGCAACCAACGCACTGTTAAAACGATTACCACAACAACTACGTATAGCACGACTCAGCAACAAGTTCCTTTAATAGCCAATCAGATCAGTGAGTTTATTCAGAGTGAGCAAAACCAACAACAGCAACATCAGCCGCAGCGGCAACAATTGAATCAGGGTAAGAAACTGCAGGCACCGCCCCGCGAGCAACGTCGAGGACGTTCCCCAAGGCGTAGACCGACTCAGCAACAGGAACAACAACCCACCATTGAGGTGAAAACAAATGATCTGGAACAGATAACGCATCCTCAGCAACAACAACAACAATTATTCTTGCCTCGCGATGATCGTACGCGTTCACGCAGTCCCATGTGGGTACCCGGCTCTACATCATACGCTGAAGTGTTGCGGGGCTTAGAGTTGGAGCGTTTGCAGGCCGAGAATTTAGCCAGACAGGCAGCACAAGTGGCGCAACCTCACACGGACCTAACCATACAGGATGTTGTAGATGCAAGCGGTGCAGCTGGTGATCTATATGTGGCACAATCCGATCTCCAACAGCCACTCGATCAGTATGTGAGTGAACCATCCTATTCGGTTAGCACAACGACAAGCACCACGGAGCTCAGTTACCAGCAGCAACAACAGCGGGATCAGCCAGATCAAACTGAACAGGTGAAGCAAATAGCAGGCTATGAAGTGCCGATGACAGCTGAGGAAATTGCTGCTACCTATTTGCAACCAGATCCCCAATTATATCAGTCAATGTATGAGAATGTGGCGGATAGTGGTCAATGGAGTTACGTAACGACTGCAGCTGACGCCCAACCGCAGCAGCAGCAGCCAACACAAGTGGCGCAAAATTATTACGATCAGATGATGCAAATGCAGTACCCTATGCCGTACCCGCCAGTGGCAGTGCCATCTACCACGACCCAGTACCAACTCCTCACCGGTTATTATCAGCCAGTTGCTCAAAGCGAGGCCTATCCAACGGTCTATACTACGGAACCTTCGCAGATATATTATGCACAACAAACACCAGAGTATACGCAACTCCCATCATCGGCGGAACCCACTGCATATGTCCCGGAGCCCGCTGAACCCTCTTACGTACTTGAGCCCTACAATACTGATATCAGTTTGACGGGCTCGTCCACTACGGGCAATAGTGTTTTAGATCGCGTAGTCACCACACTTGCTTCAATGGTTCAAAATAACAGTGAATCTCTTACAACTAGCACGCAACAAATAACACCGGCGGCACCACCACCTCCACCACCTGAAACTCAAGAGCCTGCTCAGCAAATTTACATTGAGGAACATGTACAAATGCTCAGACCTGTAGAGCCACAGGAATTCGAATCAAATGAGCCCCGTCCGGACATTACCTTCGGTCAGTTCGATGTCGATGCCATTGAGACCATACCTATCGATACGAAAGAATCCACAACAAACATTCAAGAGACTCATATTATACAACAAATACCGCCGACTGTGGTAACGCAACGTACTCAAAAATCTTCATATGAAGTTGTTGTGCCAGCTTCTTCCGCCCCATTGCCAGACTCCCAAACAGTAACAATACGTCCCCATGTGCAACAACCACAGGATCAGCATAAACAGCAACAAGACCTCAGCACTGGCAGTACCTATGCCGAAGTTCTTTTTGGTCTACAGCACAAAGAACACTCAGTTTTCCAGCCATCCAGTCAACAACACATACCCGTACGCCTGACATCTTCACCACCAGAAGTTCGCAAAACAGAACATGCACATGTTCCGTCGGCGGCTAATCAACACGGTAAACGTAATGATAAATCGCCGGCGTGGGATCGTGGGGAAGATACGAAACCGTACAAGCAAAAACGACAACGATATGAGCATCATATTGAGCCAATACCTATCAAAGTAAATCCCAGAAAGGAAAAAGAAAAGGGCATCAAGAAACACAAAGTCGAATCGCCGGATAAGAATGGTGATACGCACGTATATGAGGAAATAGTGAAGGCTGTCAGTTCTGTGCCAGCCCCAAAGACAGAAATTGTAGCCGAAGAGTCAAAGAAACAACCTGAACCAAAGCCGAGAACATCAAGAAGGCAGAAAAATACTGTCGAAGACTTGATAGTAGAGCAGGCATCCGTTGTACCTCCGGTTTTGAATATACCAGCGCCGATAAAAAAAGAAGGAAAGCGTTCAAAGAAGAGAGGAAATTCATTGTCTAAAGAGGATGCGACTACGACAATAACAGAAACCGTAATTGTGGAGCCAATTGTGACTGAAACGAAACCTGGCGCTCAAATTATACCAGAAACTGTGGCACAGGAAGCACCAAAGATAACGCCTGATAATAAAAGAAATTCAAGGAGGCAAATAATTACTGTCGAGCACTTGACAGAGCAGTCAAATCAAACGGCTGTGGAACCAGTGATTGAACCTGTAGTTATTCAAGAAGTAGAGGACATTAAAGATCCAGTTTTAACTTTAACAGCGCCGATAAAAAAAGAAAGAAAGCGTTCAAAGAAGAGAGGAACTTCATTGTCCAAAGAAGATGGGACTACGACAGTAACAGAGACCGTCAATGTGGAACCAATCGTGGCTGAAACGATACCTGTCGCTCAAAATGTACCAGAAAATGTGGCACAGGACGCACCAAAGATTTTGTCTGATATTAAACAGGCTGTTCATGATGCAGAGGCTACAACACATATTGTAACAACAGACATTGATAATGAACCGATAATCACAGCATCGACTAACACGATATCCACTGAAAGTGGCACTACAACAATTACCACAAGAATTATAACCAAACATATTACCAAACGTACGGTTAAACGCATTGTCGATGGAAAAGAGGAAATTGTTGAGGAGGATGTTTGTGATGAGGCGCCCGAAGAAAACATCTCGGTCGAGCACTTTGACTTACCCGTCGTTGAAACAAAAGCTACTGCTACCGATATTGGAGATGTTACCGATCCAAGTATAAGTCAGAATACTACAATTGTACAAGGTGGTTCAATAACGAAAACAACTATCACTAAAACAAAACGTATTTTGAAACGTATAACAGCTGATGGTGTGGAAGTTGTTGAAGAGTACTTGGAAAATGAACCAGAAGTGGAACGGGATATAACTGTGCTACCAACTACAGTTCTAACAAGCGAGAGCGTGGAAATTTCAGATCACCTAGCTGCACCTCTTGAGCAAACCGAAGTTAGGCAAATACCAGAACCACAAAAACCTACACGCAAAGACAAAAGGAAACACAAAAAATCTCAGAGTGAGAAGCACGAGGCATCGGAACTATTAGTTGCAGAGTCGATACAAAAACTTCACGAAGAGCCTACAGTAACGAACATTTCAAAACGGGAAGACCTTGCAACAGCAGTTGCAGCTCAACCACAGAAGCCAACAAGAAAGGATAAGAAGAATAAACATAAAAAGTCAGAAAGCGAAGAATCTAAAACAAACACGGAAACTCCCATAGTGCAAAAAGTGGCCGAAATAATTGAGCCACAGCAGCCCCTAGAAACTACAGAGCCCCTGAATACACCAAGTGCAATTACAACAGATGATAAACAAACAAAGTCATCTGATGGATCTGTCATCAGCGATGATGGAAGTCTTATTAAAACCACAGTTATACGTACAACAAAAATTGTTAAGAAAATCAATCAGCAAGAAAGTCAAGAATTAACAGTGTCCCCGCAATTGAATGTAGAGTCGATGGATGACTACGAACTGGCCAAGGAAGCAATTGAAGAGCCTAAAGTGGACAAATCAGAGACAAACAGTCGAGAAATAAGCGATGAGGGTGTTGTGAAGACAACCAAAACGACAACCGTGCGAACAATCAAAAGCCCACAACTTACACCAAAACATACTCATGAGGTTGATGACAAGTCAGAATCTATGCCAGATGATAGCACTAACCAAGTTATAGAAAATAGTGGGGTATTGAAAACAACGACTGTACGAACTACAAAAATTGTGAAGAAAATTTCTCAAGATATTGAAAACACAAGTGAGACGAGTAGTGAAGCCGATACAGTCTTACCAGTTGTTGAGTCTATAATTCGACATGCTCCAGTCATCGCTGAGTCAGTGACCACCGAATCGAATAGTGATGGAGTGAGAAAAATTACAACTATGCGAACTTCTAAGGCTGTGAATAAAACAGTTCCCATAGAAGACCATCCAACTAGTGTAGTTGGAGAGCCTGAAATCGAGAAACTTTTGCAAACCGTTCCATTCCCAACTGATGCAAGTGTCGGTGCTACCTTAAAAGAAAATACACTGAGTTTCATAGAATCTGAACAGAAAGCCAGTAAGCTGACAGCTGAACCAGTTCCTCAACTAAGCCCAGTGGACAAATATCAACAAAAAGATGAAGAAGACTTCGTACGTTCTAATGGAAATGAGTCAGTTCCTGAACTTAATGCTGTAGTCGCTGCGAAACCACAACAATATAGAACAGCCGAGTTAGTTGCATCGGAACCGGAAGATTCATCTATTAGTGGTGATGTTGTAAAAACCACTATTGTGCGAACGACCAAAATTGTGAAGAAAATTTCACAAAACGTTGAAAATCAGAGCACTATTGAAACAGTTGTTGCTGCTCCTGATCCAGAGACGGAGAAGCTTGAAGAAGTGGTGCTCCCTACGGACAACAAAGAGACAAATGCAGAAACTGGTGGTGTAACCAAAACAACAACTGTGCGTACGACGAAAATTATTAAGAAGATGAGCGACGATGGCGAAACAACTACAGAAGAGAGCAGTGTTACGAGTGAACCTATAACTGTTCGCGAAGCATCCCCAACCATTTCTGAAATACCCAGTGAAGCCTCAACAGCATCGAGTCAAATCGATGGTGCCATTATAAAGACAACTACAATTCGTACAATGCGTATAACGAAACGAATAACAGATGACGGACGCATAATTCTTACTGAAAATGACAGTCCAAACGATGTAATCGTCACATCAAGTATTGAAATGCCCGAACAGAGACCTATTAGTCCCATTGTAACTTCACGCCAAACATCAAAGTCAACTTCCCCTGTTTCCACGCCTATCACGGAAATAAAATTAGATGCCATTGCTTCTAATGTTGAATTAGGAGTTAAGGACAGTACCAATAGATCTGCTTTGAAGGTCGTTGACATTAAAACTGAAGAACTGCCAAACGTGTACGACCAGCAAATGCCTAACGAAAGTATCGGGGTTATCAATGAGGCCAGTAGCATTACTACTACTACTACTACAACAACTGCTAAAACCACAATGCTTACAACTATGCAACAGCGTAGCTTCGAAACCGAGGATGGCACAAATGTTCTTTTCGTTGGAGAAGGCATTGATAGTGCATATCCACCAGGCACAGTCCAAAAAATTTCCCTAATTACTCATGAAGAAAAGTTGAAGACACCTATCGTGAAAATGCATCTAGATTTTCCGGAAGTGAGTCTTCGTGTAACAGAGACTGTGACTGAAAACGTGGAGTCCATCGAGAAAGCTGCCGAAAGTGATAAGAATACTGTGATTGAGGTAGTGGAGCTGTCCCAGCCAATAGTCCCAGAAGTAGTAGTAGAATCAACACCCAGAACCGATTCTGAAAATTCAATCAGAGTGCCTATTGTAGAGCCTATTTCAACAGAACAGCAGCAGGTAGATCAATTAGTTGAAGTATTGCCAGAGAAAGTGTCAGTTGAACAGCAAGTAGTTCAAATAGATACTGGCCATTTGCCTCCTACTAATTTAAGTCCCGAAGAACAGGTATTGTTCGAAGACATTAAAAAGAAACTTTCCAAACAAGATAAGAAAAAACGCCCTGCAATACCCGAAGAGTTCTTGAAACAAGAAACCATTCAAACTTTAGTGGAGGAAAGAATAGGTAATGAAAATATAATAAATACCGAGCAATCTTTAATTCATGCCACTACACCCATAGATGAACTAGCTCAAAACTTTTTCAAAGACGTAACTTTAATATCGAAGCCGAGCTCAATTGAGCATACCAAAGTCGATATTCTTTACCATGAAAATATACAAGAACCTACAATTTCTGATATTGTTCCCCCCAAAACGGAACCGGCGCATGTAGAGATCCCATATGAATCGTTGTTATCCCCTGCTCCTACTAATATCGCTAATGCTAATCAAATTGTTCCTGTGAAACCCAGCGCATTAATTACTGAAGCATCTGTGGCTAACACGGTAAGCACTTTAAATAGTATTACTAATATTGAAAATATATTCCCATTTGATAAAATATTTGAACTTCCAAAATATGATAAGCATTTGTATAATATTGCTGAGGTCAGTTATCACATAATTAAATCTCAGCAGAAAGATGTTGAACCATCTTTGTCCCTCCCACCAAGCGAACGCTTACAACCTTCTTTATCTGAAACACAAGAAAATATTCCAGCCCCTACCATTGATTGTAAATCAACAACAGTGGTGGCTCCTATTGAAGAAAAGGACACGCTAATATATAATTATAAGTTAGATATTCCTAAATTCGATGTTATATCTCAACAAAATGCAGAAAAGCTTTACGAAACTATCGTGGCTGACAAAACAATACTACCACAAGTCATCGAACAACCAACAGAAGAAAACCTTAAAATTTATGAATTGCCACATGAAAAACCATCTCTGCCTCAAACAATCGAAAGTTTTCAACCTTCCTTATCTGCAACAGAACAAAATGTTGCAACACTTGCCATTGACAGTAAATCAACAGTGGTGTCTCTTGTAGAAAGAGTCCCATCTAAACCAATTTTTGAAATACTTAAATTCGATGTAATATCTCAACAAAATGGAGAATGTCTTTACAAAACTTTTGAGGTCGACAAATCAACACCAAATCAATCTATTGAACCATTAATTAAAGAGAAGCCCAACATTGAAGAATTGCGCCATTCCGAATCTAAGCCGAAAGAAGAGAAACCATCTGAGCCACTAACAACAACAGAGGTAGCACCTGTTGAAGAACACGATATAGTACCTACATGCTTTAACTTTGAAGTACCTAAATTCGATGTAATATCTCAACATAATGCAGAAAACATCTACACGACTCTTCAAGCAAACAAGGCAGCACAAATGAGTAAATCCCCAACTAAAGACACAGTAACTGTTGAATTGGCGCATCCACAATCTCCAGATCAAGTTCCTAATACAGAAGAATTACCTAAATTCTACAACTTTGGGGTACCTTTATATAATATTATAGAGCAAACCCGTGCCGAAAATTTGTACAGACTAATCCATAGTCAAATTACTGAAACGTCTAAGTTGGCCGAACCAATTGAGCAATCTGAAGAACCTGAAAGAGACAATGAACTAGCTGCAGAACCAGAAAAGATAGATGCTATTCCGTCGACAACTATTGTTGATGCCACTCAGCAAACGATAATAACAACAACAACAACCGTACTAACTGAAGAAACAAAGCCAGTTGAACCTCTCAAGCAACCAGAGGAACCGAAGACAACAGAAGTAACTCAAGAATTAAACCCAGTTGAACCGATCAAGCATCCCGAAGAACCAAAGGCAACGGTAGTTATTGAAGAAACAAAGCCTGTTGAGCTTCTCAAGCAGCCCGAGGAACCGAAAAAACCTGCATATGCTGGACTACCTGTTGATGATTCCACAAGTACTTGGATGGAAGTATTGGATGAACCAATGACTTTCTCTGAGGAAGAGGATGAACCAGAAAAGAAAGAGTCACTGCAAACTGTTAAGGAAATAGTTACCACTTCGGTTATAGAACAAAAACAACCAGAGGCAATTGTTGATGCTACTAAGGAAACTATAATTACTACAACAACTACGACAACAGTTCTTACTGAAGAAACACAGCCAGTTGATCCTCTCAAGCAACCAGAGGAACCGAAGGCAATAGTACTTACTGAAGAATCGCAGCTAGTTGAAACTGTCAAGCAACCCGAACAACCGAAGAAACCTGCATATGCTGGACTACCTGTTGATGATTCCACAAGTACTTGGATGGATGTGTTGGACGAACCAATGACTTTCTCTGACGAAGAAGATCAACCAGTTGCAAAACCAGAAAATTTAGTTCCAGAGCCATTGCAGAATGTTGTTAAGGAAATAGTTACCTCAGTCATAGAACAAGAAAAACCAGAGAGAATTGTTGATGCTACTACTGAGCAAAAGATTACTACAACAATAACTACAACAACAGTACTAACTGAAGAAACAAAGCCAAGTGAATATATCAAGCAACTTGAGGAACTAAACACACCAGTACTTATTGAAGAAACGAAGACAGTTGAAACTGTCAAGCAACCCGAAGAACCAAAGAAACCTGCATATGCTGGACTACCTGTTGATGATTCCACAAGTACTTGGATGGATGTGTTGGATGAACCAATGACTTTCTCTGACGAAGAGGATGAACCAGTTGCAGAACAAGAACATATTGATTTTAAACCAGCGACCAATATTGTAGAGGAAATTGTCACCACAGTTATAGAACAAAAACAACCAGAGACAATTGTGGATGCGATTACAACAACTACGACAACAGTTCTTACTGAAGAACAAAAATCAGCTGAACCTATTAAGCAGCCCGAAGAATCAAAAGCAACAGTAGTTACTGAAGAAACAAGGAAAGTTGAGCCTATCAAGCAACCTGAAGAACCGAAGAAACCTGCATATGCTGGACTACCTGTTGATGATTCCTCCAGTTCGTGGATGGAAGTATTGGAAGAACCAATGAATTTCTCTGACGAAGAGGATGAACCAATTGCTGAACCAGAAAAGAAAGATCCAGAGCCATTGCAAAATGTTGTTAAAGAAAAAGTAATCTCAGTTACAGAACCAAAAGAACATGAGACAATTGTTGATGCCACTCAGCAAACGATAATTACAACAACTACGACAACAGTTCTCACTGAAGAAACAAAGTCAGCTGAACTCCTCAAGCAACCAGAGGAACCGAAGGCAATAGTAGTAACTGAAGAATTAAAGCCAGTTAAACCTATCAAGCAGCTCGAAGAACCAAAGGAAACAGTAGTTACTGAAGAAACAAAGAAAGTTGAGCCTCTCAAGCAACCCGAAGAACCGAACAAACCTGTATATGCTGGACTACCTGTTGATGATTCCACAAGTACTTGGATGGATGTGTTGGATGAGCCAATGAATTTATCTGACGAAGAGGATGAAACAGTTGCACAACCAGAAAAGATTGATGCTAAACCTGCGACCAATATTGTTCAGGAAGTAGTATCCACAACTAAGGAGAAGCAACCCATTGTTGATACTATTGCAAGCGAAGAACTCAATACAAAAACAATTGAACAAAGGACAATTACAACTACCAATAGAATCGAAGAGCCAATTGATACCTGGTCTAGTGTTTTAGAAGAAGCAATACCAAACACAGGAAATATAGCGTTCACTTCCAATTTGTCGGCAGACGCTCCAGAGTTTACTCCGTCCTACCTCAACCACGTACACTCCAATCAGACGCATACTTTCTTAGCTAATGAAAGGGTTTATAACGAATTCATTCCCCGTAGTAAAGTGGAACAAACAGTTTCACATAAACAAAGGTCAAAGAAAGTAAAGCCGGCGATTCCCCAAAAGAAGCAAAATCCCACGCAAACAACGTCTCAAAGTATTTCTCCTCCTCGAGAAATAAAACCACCTTCAGACCAATCTATTGAAGAAAATATTTGGGTGAAAACTGGGGATGGAAAGTCATATGCAGACGTCTTATTCAACTCTGGGTCTGTTACTGAACAAGACATTGTGCATATATCATTGAAAGAACACCGAGAGAGTGTTGCACCTGTTATTTTTGAAAAGGTAGAAAAAGATAAGAAAAAACTGAAACAAAAAATAGAACCAAAATTAGTGGAAACAATTCAGGACAGAGCTGTCCCAGCAGTAACTGTTGAATCAGTTACAGAGAGTTCTAAAGAACCTTCATCTGACGAACATGATATTTCACATACGTCAGCGGTAACATGGTCGGCTCTTGTTCGTAGACCCGGTAAATGGACAGATACTACGGCCAAAATAGAAAAAATCCAGCCAAATACAGTTCCAGCTGAAAATAAACCTTTAGAAGAACATTCAGATACTACTAAACATGCAAAATCCAAGAAACCTAAAAAATCTAAGAAATCTAAAAAAGTTGTCGAGTCTGTTCAAACCACATCTGAAGATGAAAAACAGGAATCAGAATTGCAGACACCAACAGAACCAGAAACTCCCCAACTTGCGAAGTCAACAAAACCTTCAACAGAACCGGAAATTGTCCAACCTCAAATCAGAGAAGACGATAACAATAAATTTTCGTGGGCTTCGCTTGTTAAAAGACCCGGGGAGTGGATTGATACCACTGTTTCCCATATCAAAGCAGGAGTTACACCTGCAGTTGATCCAGACAAGGCAGCTATAAAAATAAATGAAAAAGAAAAATCAAAGAAGCTGAAATCCAAGAAAAAGCACGGTGATGATAAAAAACATCAACAAATAATCATCGAATCCGACGATAGTGAAAAATCACTTCATAGTCCTTCAAAAGAAACGCCGCCAATGGAAAAAGAACTCATGGATGAGGCATCGAACAAGACCGGTAATGGATCATTCTCATGGGCTTCTTTAGTGAAAAAGCCTGGTGAATGGGTAGATGATATTGCGAACCGTAAAAAGAGTGTCATAACTTCCAAAGAAGAGCCAAAACCGGAATCCAAAGCAAAGAAGGAGAAAAAAGTTGTCAAAAAGCTTGGAAAACCTGAAGCAAAACAAGCGAATCAAATGGATTCCCGGATTGCAAAAGAACATCAAGAAGTAGTTCACTCAACTCCCGAAGAATCAGAATTCATTGATACCTCTCCAGCACGAGATGACAATACTGTAACCTGGGCTAAGATCGCAAGTCAAATAGACAAAATGGCGGATTTGCCACCTAAAAAGATCCCAGAAGTAAAACAGAAGCAAAAAGATCAAAGAAAGCAGCATTTGAGAGAAGAAACAATAACAAAAATTGATTATGGTGAACACCCAGAGCCTAAATCAAAGAATTTGCCTTCCCACCTTGAGAATATTTCAACACAAAATCAATCTTTAACCTCATGGTCATCAACAGTAGTGACTAAGCGAACAACAGAATTTATAGATACAGAAAAAGAATTGATTCATCAAACGACTAGTGGCAACAAGAAATTACCTAC